GTTTGAGATCGTTGAAAATTTATTCAAAATACCCCTTAGTTCAGCCAAAAAAAAAGTTACTGAAGGAACTGGATATGATTTTGGAAATGGTCCACTGACGAAAGGTACTGGATGATGCCTGAAATGTCTGACAGTGTTTCGAAAATCATACCTAGTTGCTTGAGTACCTGTTTTTGGTGAATCTTACTACCTGGATATCTAACCTTCATCGATATACTAGTACTAATACCATTTAGCTAGCCTGATTAAATCTCTTATTAGCTGACCACTTGCCCAACATCCAGCCACCTGGGGGTGGAGGGGTGGAGTAGGTTTGACGTCCTTGAAATCTTCATTCAAAATACCATTCATGTAATTATGGGTTCACCACACCACGAAGTGGTGTGGTGAAACCATATTGCTTTTTCTGATGTTTCTCCTTCTCCTGCCATTTTTTAAATGGATTCAGCTTCTCCATTTTAGGGCCCAAGGTCCTGAAATTTGGTATGGAGGTACAGTGGGCAAATACCCCTAGGCGTTTTTTAAATTATTGTGATACAGGCTTTTAGAATGGTTTTATTTGAGTTTTTTGGCTGTGTTATAGCTAATGTATTACTGTGTTAGTGTGCCTTGTTTACCACGTTTGGGCATGAGTCATCACAATGGAATGCAGGGCATCAACCAATAGGCATGCAGCTTTCCTCTATACTTCTTGCTGATTGGCTGTTGGGATTTAACTTGATTAACACCTGCACAGAAGCATTTCCATACTGACAGTATGTCTGTATTCAAGTGTTTTGGTAGGTATTTCAAGCTTTCCTGCTCCAGCATTGGAATGCCGGGCATGGACGTTTTTTTTTATTTTGAAAATCAACAGTTTGCATTATAGCAATTAAAAATCCTAACCAATAAAGTAGGGAATAGCTATCCAACTGTTGTTTTAGTTGTATTTTACTTCATATTATAGTTATATCAATGTAAATCATTGTTTTCCCTTGTGTTTCCCATTCTTTCCCTGCCATGTCGTAAAATGTGGTGAACCCATCGCTGTATTTGCTCCAAAGCAAATATTGGCCTTTCTAGTATTATTACTGTTCTTGGTAGTAAATTAGCAGTAGATCAACTCCAAACTACAATTGACAGACATACATCTAATACATCTAGAAAAGTGAGACTTGACTACTGACCAGTCTGGAATGACGCTCTCACAGCTGGTACACTCTGCCTTCCCTGTTCTCGTGTCTTTTGCACTGTGCCTAGAAAAATGACATCATGTTAGTTGTATCAGTGAATCACACAATAATAGTCTTCATGAAAGTTATTGTGAAGTCTGGAGAGAGATATTTTGTAAACGTACCATATCTTTTAATGTTATTATTCAGCTTGTGCTATAATCATAATACTTAAATGGGGTAACTACTGTAAAAATGCATAGTGCTCGGTTCTGAACTAAGAGGTCCCAGGTTCAAGTCCTTGACATACCAACGATCTTGTGCCCTTGGAAAAGGCACTTGACACGACTTTCCTCACCTAACTCAAGTAAAAATGAGTATTGTCTGTCCTGTATTCGTTTCTATGTGTGGGACACAACACCAGCAACAGCTGCCTTTGTCACACGGGTATTGTATTGTACAATTTCAATAAATCAAATCAAATAATACTTAATCCTTCAGCTAGTTTCCAGAAGTTCTTACTTGGTGAAGATCTCCAGAGCCAGCTCGAGGAAAGTTTCCTTCTGATCCTGACTGATGTTTTCCAGAGACTCCAGTTTGATGAAGGCCTTGGAACAGGAGCCGAAGGCACGGTTGGCACAGGCAGCCAGGGCTGGGAGGGGGAAAAATATGAAAATTCAACCAATAGAAAGGTATTGCAAATGCATCATGTTTACCTTCACATGGCTCAGCTCAACAAACTACCAATGTACAGTAACTGCTTTGTTTATTTTTACTTAAACACACTCATAATATTGGATGACCATGCAGCACCACTTGAACTCAGTTCTGCATGGCACTTGCAACATGATGTAATCCAACACCAGTTACCATGGTGACAGATATCTGGTCCTGGTCATTGATATTGAATATCATGTTTACCGAAGAAAAACATATTGTTTTTGCTCAGTTTCTTCCTCTTCTTCTTCCATTCCAACCAGTAATTACTATCATTGTTATTGACTTTGTAGAAGAAGAAGATTAAGAAGAAACAGAGCAAAAACAATATATTTATATTGTGAAGGCAAAAATAAAAATCACCCACCGAGTAGAGAGTAGATGTCCACAGGATCAATGATGTCCTCATATTCCCTCAGGTGCAGCGCAGTTTTCATGGCGGCGTCCACATACCTGGATCACGGCATGACATTGTAACCAAACCAATAAGCCATCAGAATGAGTAAGTTGGAATCTCAAATCAACCAATGAGAGGTAGTCTTCAGTTTGAATCAACCAATCATGGATTGGCATTTTGACCAAACCAATGAGCCATCAAAATGAGGGAGATGGAATGTCAAATCAACCAATGAGAGGCAGTCTTCAGTTTGAATCAACCAATCATGGATTGGCATTTTGACCAAACCAATGAGCCATCAAAATGAGGGAGTTGGAATGTCAAATGACCCAATGAGAGGAAGTCTTCAGTTTGAATCAACCAATCATGGATTGGCATTTTGAACCAACCAATGAGCCATCAAAATGAGGGAGTTGGAATGTCAAATAAACCAATGAGAGGAGGCCTACAGTTTGAATCAACCAACCACGTACCCGTTGTACAGCTGTCGCTGGGCCAGGATGTAGAAGTGGTACGCCTCTGCGCCGCGCCACGCGTTGTCGATCACTTTAGAGTCCATCGTCGACGCATCCTCTTCTAGTAACCCGGCCAGGGCTGAGCTGGCCTGGAGAGGGGAAATATGTGAATGAACTTTATTGCTAAACAATGGTACATGGTACAATGTAAGGAATCTCAGACTCAGGACATTATTCAATGTAGTTACATGTAAGACAAAACTGAGAGAAAACCAAAGGACTGCCTTAGAGACATTAGCCGTACAGCCATCTTAACATCCTATTCTATATGGAATGCACGTCATAAGCCGATTGGGAATCAGACACCTTATTGTAGCTACTTACCAGCCTACTCTCTAAAACTAAACATGTAAGAACGAGGTTACATCATCTCGCACTCAATAGAATCGGAACCTTTTAAGTTTAACAAATTCTTATAATGATTCTAAGGAAAACTGTGCAATATAAGACAACAATATATATGACTCTAAAACTATATATTGCATTTCATGAGCAAAACATGTTTTTTTCCTCCAACAACTCAAACCTATCAATGACAATGAGACTCAGAGTAGCACTGACCTCTTGTCTCTTGCCCTTGGCCTTGGACTTGGAGGTGAGTTTCATCTGTTCATGGTACTTCTCCACCAGCAGAGCAGCCAAGACGTACAACTTCTTAATCCTCAGGGGCTTCGTCTTCTTCTTTGTCTCATCTTCTGCGATCTGGAAAAATGGGTTATCAAAATGTATCCTTTTTTTCTCATCCCTTTTGTCAGTGGGCAGAATTGACTATTTTCTGCTGTCTATAATATGTGTAACTAGCAATCCAAAAGTTTGTGATAAAATTACATGGTCTGCTCTGTTAATTCTTACTCAAACACATTCATATACATGTATATGGTGACAGGACTCTAAATCCCTCCTGCTATAAAATTGCAACATGATGTAACCTAACACTAGTTACTACGGTGACAGATGTTTGGTTCAGGTCATTGTCCTTATTTGTTAGGAGAAGAAGAAGAGGAAACACAGCAAAAACAAGATGTTTTCCTTCCGCATAGGTAAACATAATAAACCTTAAAGGTTTCTCCATTTTATAACTTACAATAGAATTAACAATCATAAGATTGTTTTCAAGGCGTCTTGAAGAACAAGCCTGCAGTACCTTGAAGAGCAGCTTGGCGGCGTCTAAGAAGTGGTTAGCCTTCCTGTACAGCTCAATGGCGTTCACGATCTTGTCCTTCTCCAGCAGGTGGGAGGCGTACTTGGCCAGGAGGGAGTCGATCTCCTTCATGTTGTGAGCCTTCGCCAGGTCTACAGCCTGGTTCCACTGGATAGGACAGGACATACGTTTTGCAGTAAATCAATTTTACTACTAAAATCAAAGAACCCCCATATTATAGAAATTAGTACCAGGTATGTTGTAGAATATAGTATCACGTATCACGACTCTCATATCATTTTTCATACATGTTGTTTGTACCAATGTATTTGCAATTAGCCTCCGGGCATGTAAACTTTCTATGTGTTTATTTTCGAACATAATTGCTCGACAGTTGTACAGGGTACAATGTATGGCAACAATAACAATGTAATCAATACAATAATACTTGCCTATTCTAATAAACTATGACAGAAATATGGACAGGGTACAAATGTATATCAGTTATTGATCAGAAACCAAAAACTGTGGAATGTTATTTTCAACAAGATTACAACAAAGCAATCTGATATTTCTCACCTGGTTGAGCTGGACACAACAGTCCACAGCTGCCTTCACCCTGTTACACTGGGCAGGTAAAGAAAAAAATTACTCATGGATTTTAGATACAAGTTCTTAACTTTTACATCAAAGTTGTATGATGAGACAGATACTGTTAAACAAGCGGTTGTGAATAAAGAAATTTGTTCCTCACCTTACAGTAAGCTGCTACAGCCTGCTGACACATGCCTACAGTCACAAACATGGCCGCAATCTCCTGTAGGAAACACAAACAAACAAACAAACAAACACTTGGTTAAAATGTTAAAACTCAAGGCAATGATCTAACACATACATTAGATAGAAAAACCATGTGCAAAACCAACAACTTTTCTTGCTTGTCTTTCACCAAGGATACTGACAGGTGCACACTGCATCAAATTCTTGATTCAACATGATTTATTACATACCTTCATTTATTAATTTATCTAATTTATCATCTGTTTTGTGTATTTTTATATATTGCTGACTTTGACTAATGTATATTTTGTTGTTGTATTTTTTGTATGGGTGAGGGCAACTTGTAAAGGTACACCTGTTTTGCCTTTACTTTGAGGAAAATCCAAATAAACAAATATTAATAAACAACTTTTTTATTGGAAATGTTAAATTTATGTAACAAACAAATTGTTACTACCTATAATAGGACCATTGTGTATTTGAGATCTTTACTCACAGGCAGCAGTTTGTGGTTCTCGGGTAGGGAGTGCACCAGACTCTCTAACCCGGGGTAGTCCTCCAGCATGTAGTAACACTCCGCTAGTCGCTCCTGGTTACGACCCTGGACATAGTACGTCACCGCGTTCTGCCTGTGGAGGTCACAGACATGTAAATTTGCGTTAAAAACAGTTTTGAAAACTATCTTTGGACCTGATATTTCTGAAACAAGTTTCTGGTGTAATATTTATGAACTTAAGGATTTCCTTTGGAAGTCTGGTCAATGTTGCATGATCAGAAATTTGCCTGATGCAGAGGATATCTTTTCTGACATAGCATTTGGAAACTACAGACAGGGTGTTAATCTTATATACGTGAATAAGACCTTATATGAGACAGACTGCCAAAGTGCTATGCACAGTACATTACGGGATTGGCGCAGGTGCAGTATGTTCTGCCAATGTGCTGGTAAAATATACAGGTACATAGGGGGCCAAAACTCACGTCACGTCTTTCTGAGCACAAGAGGTACATTTTGTATCTACCACTCAATCATTATTCTTGCATGTCCAGATCAGGAGGTATCAAAACCGGAAGTTCCACAGTACCATATTAAGTCCCTTATAATATACTAAATACTACGATTTATATCTTCGTTTTCTTCAAAAATTCACTGATAATCTACCGGTAAAAAATATTTTACCATTTCTGTCTGTCAGCGTAGTAGTCCCCGATGGCGTTCCAGGCCTGCTCCAGAAGCTGGTCCTCCCCCCCTCCGCTTCCCGTCTTCAGCAGCTGAACCACACGGAACCAGTCTCCCAGCTTCACCCGCAGATTCACAGCAAGGTCCCTGGGGAAACATAGCACCACGTTCACAACATGCCCATTCAAAGATCATTTCAAGTAGCATCCACTATTTTTTGTCAGTGACTAATTACTATGGAATCTGTAGTTTCTTGAGTAACAGTTTGCTTGTGCATCTCTTTACCAGGATGTCTAACCTTCATTGACGTACCAGTTAAAAGAATGTCAAGAACTTCATTATAAAACTATGTGCCAAAAAGAAAAACACTGAGAGAAAGCTAGAGATTAGTGACAAGATATGGCTTTTTTTAATGTTTTTCAGCAGATACAAAGAGAAAAAATTGAAGATTCACTTCAATAGCTTTTTTTTACCTTCTGTCAATGTCCAGATAGACTCTCTCAGCCTCCTCAAACCTCTTAAAGTAAGCAGCAACTTCAGCATTCTTCATCGCTTCACTCTGGAGAAAAAAGACCAAACCTTGATAAAGTGTTCTCAAGAAAGACCAACGACAACAAAGTGAACAGTTAGAGAGCCCTCCACCAACATTTTGTCTGTTGACTTCTACATAATATTACATGTGTATGCATAACCAACATGACTCGCAATTTCAATGGTCAGTCTATTGAAGAAGACCAGAGTGACTGGTTAAAAGCTCAAGATGAAAACTACAGTACTCTTTGTGCTGGAACAAAAGTTTTTAATATGTAACTATCAACACAGAAGTCATGTGAAAAGTCTCACTGGGTCCGTCTATTGAAGAAGACCAGTGTGACTGGTCAAAAGCTCTAGGTGAGAACAATTCCGTGTGTTTTAAGTTTAACTTTAAATGTGTGTCAAAACTAAACTTCCCCAGTGATTGCATCTTTTTACAGTTTTTTCCTCACCTGTAAGTTGCCCAGTTTCTTGACAAACTCGATGCCCTGGTAGTCCTTACACCTCACAAAAGCCTGCTCAGCTGTGGGCAGGTCTAACTTCTCCAGGGCTGCCTCGGCAAGTAACCGCCTGGAAAACACACAAGTGGTTAAACTAAGTAAACTAGACATCTCAAAAAATAACTGAAGGTGTGTAGCCCTGGTGTTGTGGCCATGTGCAGTGTCTAGCGCAGCGCCCACCAGATCCTGTAGCCCTTGAGCTATCAATGTGCAATCACTACAGCAGGGGGCTTGTCCACTGGTAGTGGTGTGTCCGTTAATATTTTCAACAGGTTGGTAAGTCACTGAGTAAAGAGACTCTTTTTACACAACCAAGTCTTTTATTCAGCCAACGTTTCAGTGACCATCTGTCACCTTCTTCAGGGCAATATTGTGGTGTGTGGTACAGTATGTTTAACCTCCATTCATGTACTCTTAACTCCAAACTCCAATACACACAGGCCACTACAGCAGGGGCTAGTCTCTTGGTAGTGGTTTGTGTTTTACTCCTATACTCCATTTTGAATACTGAGTGCTAAACAGAGAAAGCAGTATGTACTACCTATTCCATAATACTACATATAATTTTGAGTAAGCTCTATGTCCCTACCACAGCCTGGGATGAGGGTTATCCTCGATGAACTGTGAAGCATCCGCGATGCCGACCTTCTCCAGGAGGTCACGACTGTCTCTAAGGGACTGAGGAAACAGACAAAAAGAGTTGTGTTCATGAAATTATGAAATTTGGCAGTTTACTACTTAGCACTTACCTGCATGGTAAAATAAGTGATTCCAGTGACTAGCTATCAAGAAACTCCAGCCTTTATGAAAAGGAAATAAAAAGGAAGCAGTCAACCCCAGTGATGAAACGGGACGAGGGGGATACAAACTCAGCCATGTTTGGGATTGTGTTCTTGCCGCAAAAGTGCCACCTACATTATTATATTGCAACAGGAAACAGTACTCCAGTCAGAGTATGCTCAAAGTTCTGCCAAAGTGCTATGAACAATACATCATGGGTTTTGTGCAGGTGCAGTACGTTCTTTTGATGTGTCAGTGAAAACCTCCCTACCTTGATCTCCATATCGATGATGTACTCCTTATTAGGCAGTTCTGGTTCCTTCATGATCTCATCCAGCAGGACAGACCGTATCTCCAGGTCTGCGAAGTGACAGATGTATCCGGAGCTGAGGATGGGCTCCTCTGGGTCCAGGTTACGGAAAATGTACATCCTCGTCTTCTCCATCATAGCAAACAGCTCAGGATTGTCCTGGGAAAGGGGAATAGCATGTACATAGGCCACGCTGACTTAATTTTATAAAATGACATCCTCTGAATACCACCTAACTAGTGTGTGCGAGCAAATAAAAAAATTTTCAAATAAGAAATGCTGCTAAACTACAGTAAGTACTGACTTGTTTGCATATCAATCAATGGTTTGTACTTATAAACCTGCATTTCTCCTGCAGTCTCCAGTGTCACTGACAAAAGGTAGTAGATGCTACCTGAAACATCTGACCGTTTCCAAAATCATATCCAGTTGCTTGAGTAACAGTTTTTTGGTGTATGCAAATGTTTCAGTGCACTTTTCCTCACCTCGGCCCACTTCATGTCCCAGACGTCCTTCCGCTCGAACTTGAGATGTTCCCCGAGGATCTCCTGCCCCGTGCTGTCCGTCACACGCGTGTCAAGGTCAAAGAAGGTCAGCACACCTGCTATGTCCACTACAGCCAGTCTCCTGTGGGAAAACACAACAGCTATGGTTAAGCAACAGATTATGAATTTCAAAATGATTTTAACTAAAAAGGTAACATTTGCAAAGCAAATGCATGTTTACCTTTGCATAAAATCTGCTCTGTTAATTCTCACTCAAACACATTCATATATACATGTATGGTCAGACAGGAGTCTAAATCCCTCCTGCTATAAAATTGCAACATGATGTAACCCAACACTAGTTACCATGGTGACAGACGTCTAGTTCAGGTCATTGACCTTTTTGGTTTGGAGAAGAAGAGGAAACGTAGCAAAAACAATATGCTTTCCTTTGATAAACATCATATGTACGTAATAGATATTACAAATGCATTGGCAGTGTCATTCAAACTTACGAAGAGTTACAGTTGAGAGCCAGCTGGTGAGGACGACAGTTCAGCACGTGTTTGTGCACCAGGGCGAAGTTAGGCATGGTGTAACGATGCAGGGTACCTGACTCACGCGCCTACAAAGGGAGGAAAAACATACATTCAAGAGATTGTCAATTATTTTGTATTCAAATATGTAATTTATTTCAGAATCACAGGAGTATGTGTCCAATGTCAATGTAATCTGATAAAATGTCAGTCATTAGTAAGGGCTGTCATTTCAGTGTCACAAAACCTAACTGAAAATATATGGCAAAACAAGTAAAGAAGGCTGTGCTTTTACATGGTTAACAAATCATGGTTTTTAGAGTTCAACTCACCACAACTAGAAGTTTCTCAGATGCAGTGATACAGCAAATGAGATCTCTGGTGGGCTGAAGAAAGAAATACAACACTTTAAATAAATACAATATTATAACGATAGAAGACCACATCTGTAGCACTGATTACAACACTAAGTACAACAGCAGATTATGATTTCTTCAACTCAAGTGAATCATTCTTTTGACAATCACAATCAAATCTTTTCCTCAAAATTTTGCATGTTATAAAAAAACTGTTCACTGCAAAATAACATCCACAATGAAAGTACAAAATTTAGGCAAAAAAGAAAAGCACTTTGCCAGAAGTTGTGCAATATTAAAGAATATTTTGACAAGACTTTCAAACTAATGATTTGGATTTCAAAATGTTTGAAGAAATCAATTTCAATACAGTGTACATGTGTAGATGCATGTAACGCAACAAGTGATTGAGCATTTTAGAAGAATCCGAATGTTTTTGATTGTAAAGAAAGACTTGCTACAAACATCTTTTTGTTACTTTTATGCTGTTTACAAACATGTAAGCAGGTGAGGCCATGATTACAGACGGTGCGCAGGTGTGGACAGGTAACATTCTCACCTGAAGTTTTTGCCCCTCCTAAAGGGGGTTAAGTATGCAGGAACATTGAGTACAACACACATAAACATAAACAAAACTCACAAATAACAATAAACATGCAAATGACAACATTATATGTAAATACTATAAATATGTATGAAAGTAATGTTGTTAACCAAGATTTGTTACTCAGAACCAATATCTTGCTACCAGGCCCCTTTGTACCATGAAATTTGTAGGCAATGTCTCTTAGTAAAACAGCCTACAATTTAAGAGTCTTCTAGCGTATTAATACAAAAGCCTCCAGCCCAGATGTTAGCTTGGTAGCAAGGATGATCCTAGGATATATCACAAGCATATTTCAACAAATGTTAAAACAAACAGGTAAATGAAGTGTGACTTATGCAGGAGTCATTAAAAGACAGATGAAATATGTCAAGGGATACATAATGATCATTTATTCCTTATAAAAATGTTTTGGCATGGAAGACATGATTACAAAAAAACTTGATAGCAGCCTCAGGGTTTGCTTCAACTGGCAAAAGATAAAAAAAAAGAGCTTTGAACTTTTTTAGAACAATAATGTACTTGTCTACAAGAACTGTTTACCTGTAGAGCTTTGGTGAAGTCCGTCAGCCCCTCCCCTGCTCCAGTGGGGGTGTCATCTATATGGAACAGCCTGGAAATAAACAACACCAAGTTGAACATCATTTTGTTTTCCTGAAATCTCTTCCGTCTCTTTACACACCAATTTTTGTTCACCATATAAGACAGATTTGGCATGATTTTTGTTCAATACAAGCAGCAAAATTCTGTCAAATGACAGAAAGACGGACACATGGTTTTAAACACTGATTACATCCAACAAAAGCAGCATGTCTGTAGAACGTACTGCGCTTGCGCAAAACCCCCATTTTTCACGATTTAATTGGAGTTTTGGTCAACGTTGCTTCAGAATTTTGCCTGTTGCAGACAATATTTTTTTTGACATAACATTTGGAAACTACAGATGGAGTTTTAACCTTATATGCACAAATCCAACCTTATATGAGACATTCTGCTTAAGTGCTATGCACAATACATTACGGGTTTCGTGCAGGTGCAGTATGTTCTGCTGACGTGCTCACAAAGGCAAAACGAGTAAAATAGTGAATGTTATATAATTACTGACTTCTCCCTGCCGTCCTTCCTCTGAGCGCTGTACTGTCCCACGTCCATCATGGCCAGTTTTTTCGGGCTGGTGTACTGCCACGTGTAGAACGCCTCCTTAGAGGCCGCGATGATGTGGGACGCCGTCATCGTCACGTACAGGGGCTCTGGGAACAAGAGGTTCTTTATTTGTTTTTTTCTTGACAACTGTTTGACTGCATTGTAGAAATTGTTCCCTGTAACCATGTAGATGTACGTTTGGGAAAGCATCTATAGCAGTACCTAGTACCTGTGCTGCAGTGCAATGTGAAAGTCAGATTTGCCCTGAGGAAGGTGACAGACGGTCACAACAAATTTCCTGTCTACTCTGCAATGATAAGTGCACCTGGGAGCCAAAACGTAAGCAAAATAAAGTTAATGACTTAAAGTTGAAGTCATACAATACTTCTCAAAAAACAGGTTGGGACAGTTCATCCTCACTTAGAGACAATAGAAATGTATTTTTGGGACAGAGCTGGGACAATAGGAAGAAAAGTTAATTTCGAGGCCTGCATCAGACGTACCTATGTCGATGTACTTGGAGTCTAGCGGTGTGCCGATGGAGTTACAGAGCACCAGCACGTACTGCCCGCTCTGGTCGTCCGCTCGCGTGGACAGGCAGCAGAAGTCTCCACACGCTGTGATGGACATCAGGTTCTTCACATACTTCACAAAACGCTGGAGGTAAAATAAATAATTATCAACATGGTCCAGCTTAACAAACTACAGTAACTGCTTTGTTTGTTCTTTATTCTTACTCAAACACATTCATATATATGGTGACCATACAGCCTCACTTGAACTCAGTTCTGCATGGCACTTGCAACATTATGTAACCCAACACCAGTTACCATGGTGACAGACGTCCGGTCCTGGTCATTAACCTTATTTGTTTGGAACGGAAGAAGAAGAAGAGGAAGAAACTGAGCCGAAGCAATATGTTTTCCTTCGGTAAACATAATAAGCTAGGATATAGGGATTTAAACAGTATTGAGTAATGTTCAAAAGTTATGCAACTGGACTATTGTTGTGTTTGTAGGATAAAAAGACTGTTATGAAGTCCTACCTCGTTGTTCTTGGTGTCCCAGAAGACGACACAGTGCTCCATCCTGTCAGGTTTGGTGAAGGAGTACACTACAGTGTGGGAACAGTAACCCCACTGGACGGGGGGTAGGAAAGAAAAAATTTCTTAGCACATTTCTGAACTTTTATGACAACATTTCATATACTATCATGAAAGTTCATCTGTGGTGGTAGTTACATGTTAAGACTTCAAACTTTCAATCCAATTTTTTGGGTCCACCATATAAAGATAAAACAAGTAGAATGTCAGGAAAACCTAATTTTGCTTCATTTTTAAATAAAAGTATTATAACAATGATTTTATTATTTTTCTGACACTTAATTTGATGTTAAGATTATGCTAAAAACCTATAAAAATACTTGGGTGCACCCACAGAAAAAAATTAGGTACACAGTTCCAAATTTGGGTGCACTAAGGTGCACATGCACCAAGTATTTCGAGCCCTGTCAAATAAACATTTCTGACTTACCTTGTAGTCAGGTCTGATGTTAGCAAAGTAGATGAAAGAGTCCACGGCCAGGGCGATACGCAGACTGCCCCCCTCCCACGATACTGACTGCATGGACTTCCCTGGGACCTTCAGCGTTCGCAGGTGCTGGGAAAAACAACAATAAAGCATCAGGATTTGATCCTTAAAATAATTTCATCAGGTTGGTCAAGTATAGGATACAGCTCTGAGGAAGGTGTCTGATAGACACCGAAATGTCAGCACTTAGGTGAGAAAATTTGGTTGTGTAGAAGAAAATTGCTGTATCAGTATTTGATGTTTGAAGTTGAAACTTTTGTTCCAACACAAGAGAATTGTTCTCACCTAGAGCTTTCAACCAGTCTTCCTCCGGTCTTCCTCAGTGAGACTTGTCACATAGCTTCTCTGAAGTGCATCAGTGACTGGCATCATTTACCAGATACCTTTGACCCAATGTTGATGTCACACTAAGGAAGACTATACTGACTGGTCAAAAGCTCTAGGTGAGAACAATTCTCTTTTGTGCTGGAACTTTAACCATTATCATGGCATTAACAATTGCTGTTGTTTCAATAAATCTATGACAGGAAGGCTGAGCTTCTGACCTCTCCAAACGGTGTGTAGAACTGCACCACGTTGATGTCGCGGTCCTGCTGCTGTGACTTCTGGGACCCGCCGACCGCCATGACAGCTCCACAGTGGTTCCACGCTATACCGACAACCTGCATACCCGTGTCAATTAGCACTGGGGCTGTACGGGTAAAATACAACTGTGTTAGACAGTAAGGGGCACTGGGGCTGCAGGGAGGGGGGTAAAACACAAGTGCAAGTTACAACACAACTGTATTAGACAGGAGGGGGTGCTGGTTTGACACATTCAGGTTCAGGTCAAGATACATGTACTGTAATTCCTGATATTTTCACGGGACTTTTATTTAACTTTGGAGTTTTCACAGTCACTTCTGAACCGTGAACTTCATTCCCATTAACAAATAATTCACCAACTTTTTTTCTGCACCTGCCACCATCGTGAACATATGGTTCCGTGAACACCTCAATTTTTCTCAGACCATGAACTTTTGCTATCATGAACATAAAGTAAATTACAGTATATCAACAGGATACTACAAGTGAAGAAAAGGAGGGGAAGACAAGAAGTGACACCAAGAAAAAACAGTAATGAGGGACTTAAAGGAGATGGGTTTCATTTGGGAGGGATCAAGAAGACAAGCACAAAATAAAGCACAAAATGAACGACCAAAACTGCCCTTACCTTCATCGTACTCGTGCCTCATGATCTGACACCTGCCGTTGTCGAAGCAGATGGCCAGACAGGGGCAGTTCGGCTCCACGAAGCCGTCTGTTCCGTTGTACCACTCCATCCCCGCGATCCGCACGGCACCAGTCACGTTAGTCAGGCAGTACAGAACCATCTTGTTCTGTGGGAAAGAGGGAAATTTACAGTTGGAAGAAATTCATCAATCAGTAACTTGTTTTGAAAGGTAAAAGCACGTACCTCCAAATTTAACGATCATAGTTAAATTTCATGAAATAAATTAAGGTCAATATCAAAGTACGTCACTCTGTAGTATCTCTATTTCTTCTTCTTACGTTTCAAACAAATAAGATCAAGAACATGGACCAACTGTACAGCAACAAGAACAAGACTCGAAACTTACGCAGAAGTTGCCCAGGTTGTCGAAGATCTGAATCTCTCCATTGGTCATCCCAAATATTAGGGATTTTCCATCAGGGGACCACTGGAGGGGGGGGGGCATGGTAAAAGTTTAAGTTACTGTATTACAAAGTCATATGACCTACAATTGTACTGTGCTGTTATTTGCAAAATTATTGAAACTTAAAGTTTAATATTCCAATGCCAATGTTGATAAGTTGAATCTAAATGATGAACTTCAATCCAAATTACATAATCCTCAATCTTCAATGCAACTGTGTATAGTAAGTGTCCTACTATTATGTATAACTACTATAAGGTACCCAATACCATTATAGGTTAACTATTTTATGCAAGCTGATGGCCAACACGTCAGACATCAAAATACACACTTGTCTAGTACTGTTATAACAGTAACAGTTAAATACATGATTCCAACAGAAAAAAGCACAGAATTGCATAAACATGTTTCAATGATAAAATAAAAACATTTTAATTTGTTGTCCACTCACAGCCACGTTAGACAGCTGCATGCCCTTCAGCTCCTTCCCCCAGATCCTGTTTCCATCCACAGAACCTACAATCACTGCACCTGGAGGGAGAGGGGGGCACAATGTCAACATATGTGTACTCTGCACTTAGGTTAAGGATTAATCAGGCACCTATATATTAGCCACATGGTAGGGTTAACATCATCACCTCGCGCGAGCCGTATCGAAGCTGCATTGCACAAGCATAGCTAATAGAAAAAGCATGATATCATGGTTCAATTCTGACGAGGATGACTAAACAGAACAGAACATGCCTATAATGTAATCACTCTGAGAAAAGAAATCAGAGTTATCCCTTACTGGTAATCATATTCACCCATCTTTGCATTTTTCCAGAGGAATGAGAATTTGAAACAAACATTTTTCCACAGAGATAAGAATTTGAAACCCATATTTGTAACGATGTCTTGTGTATTCTAGTAGTAGATATGATATCACTGTGTTACTGTTGTATATGAGCAAAAGTGTGAACTGATACTTAGTAATGAATATTGAGCTCAATACCGTCCTCATACACGATACAGATCTTCTGTCCGTCAGCGTTCCACTGCATGCTGCGTACCACAGACTTGTTCCTGTTGTTGATCATCTCCTCGTACCACAGGCCTAAATAACATGGACAATCAACATCAGTCATTCCTCATTTAAATTTTTAAAACCCAGGGTAACTAACCATAGGTTACTCCTGGATCAGTATCAACAATGTACCCTATCTATCTTGAAAGTTCATCTGTGTTGGTAGACAGGAGCAACTTGCATCCCGTCTTTGTTGAGGGATGGTTGCAATGACATGTGTGACATCTGCATAATGTGATGTCACAGAAGCGGTGGATTGCTTATTCCTTGATAAGGACTGGAGTTGTACAGTCCAAATTTCTTGCGTTGGTAATTACGGTTTAAGTGCTTCATATAGTTTAATACTCTATCTAAATATTGGTATCATCACTGTTGGTATACATGTAGCAATGGGTACCAGAAATGATATAAAACTGTGCTGTGTGACCTTTGTACAGCATCCAGACGATGATGAGGCCGTACTGGTCACTCGTGGTCAGCTTCTGAAAGTGTTCGTTCCACGTGCAAACCTGGACAGCACCTGGCAGGGGAAAATACATGTACATGATATACCTGAGTCCAATAGGAAATTTAAGTGTTAGTTCATTGTCGTCAACCTGCAAGTGATACGTCTATCAAGAAAATAGAAATTTATGGGCATTACTACCACCTCATCTCAATTCACCTTTTGCTTATCAATTACTATTGAATACAGCAAATTAAATGTTAGCTGAATGTAGGGAAAGGAACAGAATAGAACACTAAGCTGTGTCTCTTTACCTACATTCTAATCAATTGGTGCTAAAATTTATACCGCAGTAACTGGTTACTGCTAAAATTTCTAAGGTTCTGTGATCTAGAATTCAATTCTTTTCCTCCATTCCAGTGATGTTTTGTTAATATGGCTCAGGCCAAACATTAGTGAGGAATAACATGAACTGTGATCTCACCACTGTGTCCCTCCAGAGTCTGGTTCATGGACAGGTTACTGGGAGCAGCTAGACCCTTCATCTTTACATCCTTACCTGGGGAAAACAATGTCACACATCTTATTATACATAATACATACCAATTTAATAACAAAAGTCTGACTGGTTCAATGGCCAATTGGATAGAGTGGTGTAAATTGATTCCCAGCCAAGTTATACCAAAGACATAAAGTAGGCTTCTCTGCTTAGCACTCAGCAGTTGGGAAAGAGTATGGGAGTTAAACACCCACCACTACCAGTGGACTAGCCCCCTGCTGTAGTGACGACACAACTGTGTGGACCAAGGGCTACAGAAACAGAGATCTTACTGGTCTGTGTTTCCAGTTTGAGAACCTTGAGTAGAAGAGTATGGGAGTCAAACACACATCACTACCAGTGGACTAACCCACTGCTGTAGTAATTACATGTAATTGCGTGGCCCAAGGGCTACAGAAACATAGTCTCCAAGCAGATCCCTTTCGGTGGCAAGACAGTATCCATTAGGCAGAGGAGTTTGTACGACCATATGGTGGCTAATGGACACTCCTCTGGCCAATGGACACTGCCTTGCCACCGTATGATCTGTCTGTGATTGCACTACTGTGCAAAAGAAACAGAGACTTACTGGACTGTGTCTCCAGTTTGAGGACCTTGAGTAGAAAGAGTATGGAAGTTAAACACACCAGTACCAGTGGACTAGCTGCTAGAAACAGAGACTTACTGGACTGTGTCTCCAGTTTGAGGACCTTGAGTAGCCCGTCCTCCCCTCCACATGCGATGTAACCCTGCTCACGGTTCCAGGCCAGCGCTCGCAGCTTCGTGTTGTTGGGGATCGCAATCTGTACAGGGAGGAACATTGGTTGGGAAAGTACATGTAGAAGTCTTAACATGTGTTCATGAATATACAAAATACTCATTAACGAGTACAGCATTATCTTACTTGAATAGAACATATATCTGTATCTTAGAGTGATGACTTACAATGTGTAATAAGTTCTGTTGTGTGGAGCACACATTAAAAGTGTTAGTAATAGTAGAGTGTTAACTGTAAATCTACTTTAGGTTCCGGGTTGGTGTCAAATTATAGACAAGCTCAATAGATATGCAAAGTTGTAACCCGGTTTAATAACATCAGACTCTTTATGATACAGTGGGAGCCAGTTAATTGCAAAACGCTTATAAGAAAAAGTCTGCTAATTGAAAAGAATTGTGAAAACCCAAACCGTTTCCCATTGGCACCATTGTTTATCGCGCCCCTTATTTGAAAAGCCAAGGTCGGCTAATTGAAAAAAAAATTGTCAAGTTGCAACACATTTTCAACCAAAAACATGCCAAACAAATCACCAAAATCGGCGGAAAATTTCTTATATCAAGACATCAAGCCGCCAAAAGGGACAAAGTTGTCTGTTTTGAACCACAAAGGAGGCCGAAATTTACGTTGATCGAGCGGTCGGGCGCACATCGGCACTACGTAATGAGAAGCGCGAGCCGGTTCATAGCCGCCAAATGCGGCATGCTTTTGTGTTCTTTTAGCCTGTTTATTCCAAGAATGTTTAATTTCTCAAACAACTCATTTCTTAATCATTAAAATTGTGTCTCTACTTGTGTACTGCGCCATTATTTTGAGTTTATTTCGACTGCGACACGGCGCTATCGCCGCATCAACACGCCAAATGTGCCGCGAAAAAACACCGCATGGAATGATGGGATACTGCTACCCACGCCGCGTCCGCCATCTTTGTTTACTTCCCCGAACGCTAATGCGAGAGATCCCCGTCAACTATCGCAAATTTCCATGTAACCTACGGACATCGTAAGCTAAAAAGTCATTAACATTGAAATGAACAGTTTATTGTTGCATTAGCTACGATAATTTTCGTGTGCTAGCCGGAGTTTCTGAAAATTAGGAGACCGAAGTGATCCTTTGTGCTATCGACTGCTTTCATGACGATCGTGTGCATAAATTATGTCTGTACGCTACTTGACTGAAGTTTTCCGTTGATCAAACTTTATTTTTGCTACTTTTGTGGTGTAAAAGTATGCACAGGCTGATGATTGTGCATGTATTCGTTGCTCGTTTTGTACGTAGCAAACGTAGCATTTGTTTATTCGTTCGAGTGCCTGCCGAGAACACATGATGTCTAACGTATCGCAGCGTTCTTCCAGCCTTGGAAAAAAATACGTAAACGAAAAAATACGTAAACGAAAAAATTATAAGCAAATTTACCGATCTCAATAAAATTCACTGTTTTTAGTGCGTAAATATGACTCGTGTTTGTATTCTTTGTGTCGTTATTTGTGTTCGATGTCCTGTCCACCCCCCACCCCCATAGTTTCAATGAAGTCCGAGAGTTAGAGCCTCAGACAGTCAGAGTCTCTTAATCGGAAAGGCCGGGTATTTGAAAAAAATGTGCTGACAAATTGGCTTTTCAAATAAGCGGCTTCCACTGTATTATATATATCTCTAGGGTTTATACCATACCAAGAACTTCTTCTTCTTTCTGTGCACGAAATTCTGAATAATAATGTCTTGGTTCAGGAATTATTGCTGAGTGTTTGAATTTCATATATTTCTTTATTTAATAATTGACATATAGATAATATTCAAAGTTCTTGTGTGAGTTATTGTGTATATTCACACATTTTTGAACTCCTGCAAAAATGGCTGTCCCGTTTGTAGCTTTCTTTTGTCACCGAATCATACTATAAACTCTCTTGTAGACACACATTTTGAATGTAGTGGAAGTCAGCTATGCAGCTTGCAATATAAAGCAAAAAAGAAAATGCGTTGTCATTCAGCAAAGTAAGAAAGGTCACCCACCTTTTTGCTCAGATAGATGAACATCTTTGTTGTCTTTCTCCCTGCAGTCGCTGAGCTCCAAAAACGTTCAGTTTACTCCACCAGAAAGCGATATTTTCCAGCTAGACTTGTGAAAATTCAAACTTAGTCCGCCATATTTCTTTGCCAGGAATTCCTACCTAATTTGCATAATCTCGTTTGGCTATGTATCCCCGGTAACAAGATATTTCAAAGCCTTTCTGTATCAACTGCAGGCCTAACCTTTCTATAAATTGAGAACTTACAGTTTTATGAAGCCAAAATGTGTCCAAATTTGCTGAAAAACATTGGAATTTTGATTATTTTTGTGGAGTTTGGGGAGTTGTTTCAACTCTCGCGAGAGGTGAACTTACATCCGGGAACTTGTGAACGCCATCTTTCTTTTCCCCCGAGCAGCCATACTTTCTGCACGTTTTCCGGTAATTTCTGCAAGAATTTCAACAAAATTTGCTATTATATCACGATTTTTCTCACATATTCGCCGTTAGTTGGATTCATTTAGTGACTAAGATGTTGTTTTACCGTTTCAGTGGTGGTAAGAGCTCGGAAAATCAGCCAAAATGAAGCAAAAGGTGGGTGAAATTTCAGTGTACACATGATGGGGTCTGTCACCAATAATTTTTCGTGGCATGGATCCAACATGCTACTGTGCAGGCAGAGATAGTTCTTTGCAGTGTCATCATCACCATACAAAGTTTAGCCATCTGTGAAACGCCAAAATTTTGTTGTGTATGATCATCTCTTGATCCAGCTCTTCAATTATTTGAAAATATAGAAGAAGAAGATTTGAAAATATAAGTGCCCCCCCCCCCATGGTCCCCAAATCCCCCTCCCAAAGAAAGAATAATTTAAAGATCATATCCACACTTAGTGATGTAAGAAAATTATAATTTTGATATTTGATGACATAAAAGTTTCTTTGACTAGACACAGCTAAGGAGAAGATGTCACTTGTCCAAAACTAAAAGTTGCCCAGTTTCAAGGGATACCCTGATTCCAGGGTTAGCAGAAAATTTGGACATTAATATGTTAAAATGCTCTTATCTTACATTTTTGATAGATTACTGAACTGCCACACCTAAGTCCTACATATTTACATCTACATAAGTTTAACTAAACACAACTTTTCGTAAACTTTTCCGATGGTTTTACAGAGAAAGACGATGGAGAGCATCAACTCCAGGCTGCAGCTGGTGATGAAGTCTGGGAAATACGTCCTGGGCCTGAAGGAGACACTCAAGGTGCTGAGGCAGGGCAAGGCGAAGCTTATCATCATCGCTAATAACACCCCAGCTCTCAGGTTGGTACACTCCACAGAGTCATGTATTACTGTGTAAGATGGGACGGACTACTAAGCTTCTAGGGGAGGCATGAGATACTTTGACTGCTGAGGCAGGGAAAGGCGAAGCTTATCATCATCGCTAATAACACCCCCGCTCTCAGGTTGGTACAGTCCACAGTTATGTGGTACCTATGTAGGATGGGATGGACTATTTAGCTTGGGGGGGGGGCTGAAGGAGACACTCAAGGTGCTGCGACAGGACAAGGCGAAGCTTATCATCATTGCTAATAACACCCCCGCTCTCAGGTTGGTACAGTCCACAGTTATGTGGACCTATGTAGGATGGGATGGACTATTTAGCTGGGGGGGCCTGAAGGAGACACTCAAGGTGCTGCGACAGGGCAAGGCGAAGCTTATCATCATCGCTAATAACACCCCCGCTCTCAGGTTGGTACAGTCTCCATCTGTATGTGGTACTGTGTAAGATGGGATGTAGTATTTAGCTGGGAAGTATGTCCTCGGCCTGAAGGAGACACTCAAGGTGCTGAGGCAGGGCAAGGCCAAGCTTATCATCATCGCTAATAACACCCCAGCACTCAGGTTGGTACAGTCCACAGGGTCATGTAGTACTCAGTAATTTGGGCTGAACTATTTAACTTGTAGGGGAGGCATGAGGAACTTCAAGTGCTGATTTAGGGCAAGGCTAAACAGTAAACTCATCATCATCACTAACAACAACCCCCGCACTCTGGTTGGTTCAGTCTCCATCCACATGTATTACTGTGTGAAATGGGATGGACTATTTCATGTATAGGGGTTTGCACGTCTTTTATTTCTTCCAGTGATGTCGATCTGCCAAGAAATCAGCAATAACGGACATGCCTTCATGGTGAACTAGTCACTGCCAGGCTTGGTGAAGTGGCTGGAAAGACTAGTTCTCTCGCGCTAAGAGAGCTCGGAATCCGATTCAATCGGCAAACTATTCTCTTAGTGCAGGACCTACTCCCCTGGTAGATGATTTATTTGGCCAATGTCTTCTCTTTCCAGCCGCTTCTTGAAGCCTGGTAGAGGCTACCAATGAACTGCCAATTCATAAGATTTCTTCTAATCTCACAACTTCTCACCATGTTTTTTTGCCCCTTGTAGAAAGAGCGAAATTGAGTACTACGCCATGCTGGCCAAGACAGGTGTCCACCACTACTCCGGTAACAACATCGAGCTGGGCACGGCCTGCGGAAAATACTTCAGAGTCTGCACACTGGCCATCACAGATCCAGGTAGGAACAAATACTAGTACTTTATAAAGCTCTCTCCTACAGAAGGCATGTCTTCATAAATTAAGCAGGGGTCTCCCCAGAAAATCTTAGGGGAGAGGTACTCCCTGCCTTATGAGTTGATGAACATGAAACATGAAAATACTAAGAGAAAACCCTAAATCTGAACATTTTGGGAGAGGTTCTAGGGTTTTGGGTAAAGGGGGAACACCCTTGCTTCATTGCTTGGGGAGAGCGCCGTTAAGTGTGGAATCGTGTATAATTGTTTAGTTACAACATTGTAACTATGCTGTTGATGCTTTGGGGATTTCAGAAATGCATTGATAGATGTTTGATGGTTAAAGTACAGACATGAACTATTCACTTAAGACTTAAAACATACTTAATTGGAATTACATGTATTTGAACTGACGTGAAACTTTCTGCCTTCTCCAGGGGACAGTGACATTATCCGGTCTATGCCAGCTGAGGACAAGGGAGAAGCCAAGTGAGCAGCTTCATCTAGTCACGTAGAGCTCTGAATGAAATAAACATCTCCAGTTCAAACTTCCTGTCTTGGTTATTTGTTGATATACATGTACTACTACATTGTGGTGTGATATAGTGTGCAGAGAGTAATAAGTACCTAATACCAGCCCAGAAGAAAACAAGAAATAGCCATGCATTCAAGTACCAGAGTTATCAACCAAGGATTGAGGTGTTCAAGAATTCATTCTTTTCTAGAACTATCGCAGAGTGGAACTCGCTGTCACCAAGTACAGTAGGGGCATTGTCAATAGATAGCTTTAAACAATGTCTAGAGCTAAAAGTTCAAGGGTTAGGTGTAACAAGTCGATCGGTGTAATATAGCCAGCTGCCGCCGCGCCGCGTGCCAGCGAAGCTGGTGTGTTACGCAGAAAGGCGGTTATACCGTCTATACAGATACAGATACAGAGAGTACTTAAAGCAGGCCAATCTTGTTCATTGATGCAAATGTGTGTTGCCTGTATACAAGTGCCCAAATAAGCTGCTGAAAACCATGGTCTGTTAAGAATACAAGTTTTTATTGTGCGTGTGATTGTGCGTAGTTGTCCACACCGTAGGTGTGCTTAAAATTACTTTATGATGACAAAACATGGTTACATTTCATTTAATATTGCAATGTAAACCTCACAATTTCAGAGTCTCTACCATGTCAGACATATATAGTATAGCCACCACAACAGTTTTGTCAGCTGACCCTGAGAGTTGTACCACCTCTGTCGTACCCTGGGTCCATACTGGAAGCTTGTAGGCCGTTGGCTGAGCCTGGAACAGGACATACTTGACCACTGGTACAATCCGTGGGGACATGGCTCACCAACGCTCGAAAGTTCAACGTGATAGGTCGCTCTGGAAAATGCATAGCCCTTACTTCTGCACCTGCGCGAAACCCATAATGTAGTGTGCATAGCACTTCAGCAGAACGTCTCATATAAGGTGGTATTTTGCTCATATAAGGTTAGCATTTCGACAGTAGTTTCCAAATGTTATGTCGGAAAGAATATCCTCTGCAACAGGCAAAATTCTCATGCAGCGTTGACCAAAGGCCATAAGGCTAACACTCCGTCTAGTTCTCAAATGTTCATCTTGGAAAAGATTTCGTCTGCTACAGGCAAAATTTTGATGCTACCAAGCTTCTGACAAAAATCTGAGTTTTGCACAGGTGCAGTACATTCTGCTGACATGGTTCTTACATCTCTTCTATATGCTCTTCCTCTCCGTACTTGAACTTGAAGACTGCATCCAAGTATTGTTGGTACAGTTTATCCATGAAACTCTCCCGGGTAGGAGACAGCCAATCACCGAAGCCGATGTGGCCTCCGTGGGATGTCATAACCAGCGCGATGTTTGGGTTCTTTTCTATCTCTTCAGTTGGAATGGCTGAAAAAAAAATTAAGCATATTACTACATGTATTTAAATTCTGGTCACAAAGAACAAATAACAATTGGGCAAGGTGGTAGAATTAGAACTGAACAGTGGTTTAAGCAACAAAAATATTTGAAATGGTCATTGCCCTACCTGCAATTTTGTTGTTTGTTAAACTTTCTCATCTAACCCCTTATTTTCACTTAAATTGTTCCTATCAAAAGCATTCATTTTTTATTTTCCAGTATTCATTTGTTGGTTTGGCTGGTATACAAAGCAGCCAAACTAGTACACTACTGCAGGTACATAGCTAATGGCAAGCCTTGAATAATAATAATAACATCAATGTTATTAAAAACATACTAGAGTACTCACTGTACAATGGAGCAAAGACGTCATCCGCTGCATTTAGACTCAGCACGGGTGTCTGGACTCTGCTGACTTTGTTACAGGCACTCGCAAGGGTGTAAAAGTGTTCCACTGACTCAAAACCAAACACTTTGGTGGTGAAACAATCATCATGTTCAGCTATGGTAGACGACTGGGGAAAAAACAAGGACAGAATCATATTATTTTGTATAATATCATGACTCAGTATTGATATATAAAGTCATAAAATGTTACAAAAAATTTAATCTCACACTATATATTACTTAGCGTGATGAAGGTAAAACATTTTTCACCTTGAGGGCGTGATCAACATCCACACGACTGTCCTTGTCAAACATTTCCCTGTTTCTGGAGACAAAAGTAAGTTCAACAATTAAAACATTGTTTGCATGCTTTGTTATTCATGTATATGCATGAAAATAAAACTTCCAGAACTTAATGATAAAATTTTGATACTCCCTTGTTCTAATTTATGAAGAAACTTAAAACCGCATTTCTTCCTCAAAGATATCAGTATGGTATGGAATAGGATTAATTCAATGCACTACAAATGTACATGAAAAAAATGACCAGAAACTGACTTTGAAAATCCAGTTTTGCTGCCCTGAAATTGCATTGGATGCCTTTAATAAAAGAAATAAGATAAAGTTGTTCTTACTGTCTTATATATTTTCTCAGTCCGTATGTCAGATACTTGTTAAACAGCAGCTGGTTCAGAGGTTCTTCAAGAGATTTGGTTGTCTTCGAGGCGTCCCAAGGCATGGACATGACCATAGCTGCTACAAGGCCACAGTGTGCGCCGAACTTGGCCAGGTAGTTGAAGATGATCATCCTGTGGGTAACATTGAAAATTACCTGCACCTGACAAATTGTACCTGCACCACTCAGACTTTGGGTCAGTATGAATCACACTAAAACTGTTCAGAAGACATTGCCATTGTTTCTTTTAATAATATAAGTTTTATACTTGCTAGGTGGTAAAAGTCAATGAAGCAAATAAAAAGCAACATACACCTATGCACATGTATACATATGAAAAACCCAGTACATGGACCAGTGCAGGATAGGTGTAGGCAGACATCAGAAATACCTGCACAGCTCCAATTCTACCTGTACTAACCTGCATATACCCAGTACATGGACCAGTGCAGGTTAGGTGTGGGCAGACATCAGAAATACCTGCACAGCTCCAGTTCTACTTGCACTAACCTGCATATACCCAGTACATAGACCAGTGCAGGTTAGGTGCAGGTAGATATCAGAAATACCTGCACAGCTCCAATTTTACCTGCACTAAGGTGCATACATACAGACAAACCGAAAAACACACAAAGACACACACATAGACAACCCAATTTAGAGCAACTTTACAAATATCCTAAGAGTTTTAGAATAGTTGACGATTTGAAGATTTTAAACTTCACCCTCCAAGTGATGCCCCGACAGCCATGACTGGTGCTTCAGGGTAGAGTTTCCTGATGTGAGATACTACAAGCAGGAGGTCACTGGTGTCAGCTGCACAGTAGTATCTGTTGTTCTGCAGGGACAGAGACAGAACTATAAATATATCCTGTTCACACCTAAAGCTATGAGTAGTACAGTCTAGTATGGCAATTTTTTACTTCACTTTGCAGTGCAAATTTTTCCCATTTATGGAAGGCTTTAGGTGGTTTAGCACAAAAAAGGGAATGTGAGCTGGTTCCCAACATTCAGGTTTTTTTTTATTTGAACCTAAACATTTTTATAAGTCCGGAACTGGTCCAGCGAACCGATACACAGCAGTAATGTATCTGTAGTTCTACTGCTGACCCACTAGCCTACCTTCAGTTTGACCCCGTTGCTGCCCCTATGATTGTACACAACACTCCTGTAACCCCTCTCACAGCCTCCTCGGGCCAGGTTGATGACGTAATAGGAGCCACTGTGACCTGATGGCCAAGGAAAACAAAAGACACAAAAAATTAATATCTTGATTTATTGAACTTGCAACAGTGCTTATACACGTGGAACACAGGCTGCTGTTGTTGTGTGAACTTGTGTCCCACATATACAGATACAAACAAATACAGGGCAGACAATACTCATTTTCACTTGAGTTTGGTGGGGAAAGTTGTGTGCCTTTCCCAAGGGCACAAGATCAGTGGCATGTCAGGACTCGAACCCGGGACCTCTACACAACCCGCTACACAACCCGCTACACAACCCCAACTGCAACACATGTTTTCCTTTTTTCTTTTTGCATAACCCCCTTGCCACTAATACTAGTCTAAGAATAAGTTGAAATAAGGCAAAAATTCTACCCTTCTAGTTCTATCTCCTACTGTTTTGAAATGGAATAGTCCTGACCTGACATCCCTGGGAGGATAACTATGATGGGGCGTGTCCTGTTGTCATGGTGACTGTTGCCATGGTGATCCAGCCAGTCCAGGTGGAGCTCCCCTCCATCAGGCATGTCTAGAATCTCTCTGCAAAAAACTGTCACTTTCAGTCTTACATGTATGTTGCAGAATGATGTACAATGTATAAGATACAATTCTTTCGGGTGTAAGTTCATACATACATGGTAATGAAAATGGGAAGATATAAACAATTCCCTGTTAGAAAGAATATGTAAATACTGTACAGTTTTTACAGCTCTTTTCTGCACAAATGTACAATGAACAGTGGACCACAGCCTATTGTCCCATCCTGAGGACTGTGACCTTTTCCAGTAGCATGCATGCTGGGTGAGCAACAAGAACTGCATGGGATTCAAACTCCCAACCCCTAGATTTTGGTCCACAAATACAAAACTGTAGGGTCTCTAACCACCTAACTACACAATTTGCTCTTACATAGGAAACAATGCCTCATCTTACCGTCTGTATGGTGGCAGTTTCCAGGTTGTCAAATCACCCAGTACCGAGCACATGATGGTGTGTAGACGTGATGTGAAGCACCAGACAGTCGGGTAGTACTCCTGTACCAGCACAGGACAGCGCCGCTGGAGGAAGTCTGCACAAGCAGCACTGCCTGTGATCAGCAACGGCTTCTACAGTGGACACAAATAAATACTTTGATGTCTGTATCTGTACAGCTAGTGTAACTTCCTTTCGACATAACACATCAGCTTTGTAGGCACACGGCGTGGCAGCAGCTGGCTATACATGTATTACACCGAACTTAACCTGGAGTCCAGCAGCCTTGTTAGCTTTGGTCCGCTAGCGGATCCGGTGGAGCTGACCAAAGCTAACAAGGCTGGACTCCAGGCTATAGTTACACCTAGCCTTGCCTTTGGACATCCAACTTTAAACATTGGACTTTTGGAGATATCTAGTGATGATGCCCTACTGTACTTGGTGGCAGATATTTATTTTTTAGGGACGATATACACACATATATATATATACACCACAGGCCGTACTTAACTCAGAATCAGTAAATGAGTTCAAGACGAACTTAGACAAATACTGGGAGAGCATAAAGTATAACACTGAGTGAAGTCGAGATCGGGATCACCCCAGATTACCTCTCATCCCGAAGACGGTATCAAGGTATCAAGGTATACACATATATACGCCTATTATTACAAAAACGGCATAACGTTTAACTTCCCTTGAAAAAAAATTGGTTGCTTGGTGCAGTTTTCGTCGTCTGCAACTTTCAAGGGGGAGGGGGGCGAACTGGAAATCAGAATTGACGTGAAGAATGTAGAAAATAGCGACATAAATAAAATGCCAAACTCACTTTGACAACACGAGTGAGGTAGTAAGTAAGTGTGGCGACTGACACGCCCACAAAAATCCCCAAAGAAGACTTGTATTTCCACATTTTCTCTTCCGATGGCCAAAATCCATCCAAAACTTCCGCCATCTTGGATGACCTAGTTTAACCTGTACCTGATTATCCGGATAACGTCGCGATTTCTTCACGAATTTAAACGTATAAATCAAAACTAGGATTTACTGTTAATCGGTTACTTTTGCTCAGCGGTAGAAATCGTTCTTCCTTGATTTTTAAAAGCTTTGAATGTGACTACTGGTAAAAATTGTAGTGAAATTGTACAAACCTCAATACCTATCTGATTTGACCTCTAGGTCGTTGACCTTTGGTCACAGTGACCACCAAGATGGCGGAAAGTTTGCATGAGTTTTGGAGACTGCTCGCGAAAAGGCGGTCAGAATGGCCGGTAGCTACGCTTCTCATCGGTGTAACGGCAACCGTAGCAACCTACTACCTCAAGTTTGTCGTCAAGGTGCGTTTTACGCTTACTTGTTGGGGATTTTTCTTTTTATATGACAAACTATGAACTTCATAAACTTTTCCCTCCCCCTTATACCGGTCTTCCGATACTAGGCAATATATATAGTAGTATTCTAGGGAGAGGTCTGGTTGACATTGGTCTTTTATTTCACAATCTGTAACTTATGAAATAAAGGTTGTAACGCAGTAATGACCATGAAAAAGAATGTGCTAAAAAGACACCCGGCTTGGAATTCACTTCCGGGTTCAAGTTTTGTAGCCTGGATGCCAGACTGTTTCCAGGTCCCACATTACCTTTTTATGTAATTTTTGGTGACAGTATTCTGGTCTAATTTGGTAAATCTAAGTACTAAGCAAGAAAAGTAAAATGGCCACTTACATATTCAACAAGTAATATTTGTGTCCACTGTAGAAGCCGTTGCTGATCACAGGCAGTGCTGCTTGTGCTGACTTCCTCCAGCGGCGCTGTCCTGTGCTGGTACAGGAGTACTACCCAACTGTCTGGTGCTTCACCTCACGGCTTCACACCATCATGTGCTCAGTCTTAGGCAACCTCGCAAAAAAGCTGCCTCCGTACAGAAAGTGAGCATCGCATGTTCTCGCATTTTTACTTACAGTGTACAGAAGTACTGTAATTCACTGTCCAGACAAGGGTTGACAGCCCATGGGTGGGGAAATTGACAGGCAAAATGACAAGAGGTCAAAGGGCTCAGAATCTGACCGAGAGGTAGAAGGGAAGGACAAGGGGAAATTCAGGAAGCCGAGTATTGCAATACTTCCCAAAGTCTGAAGTCTCCTTGTTCTAGATAGTAATCAAATACTCAGTGTAACTTTAACCAAGGTTCTTGCCTTAACCTTAGACATACAGATGTATAAGGCAAGTATACTTGGTATGATATAGTCAATATAATCAAAGAAGCTAAAATGAAAGCTATTATTAGGATCTTAATATATTCTTTTATATCAACATGTGAAAAATTAACAATGTGCAATTTTGCAGAGATATCCTGCCCACTCCCGATGGTGGAGAGGTCCACTTGGAATGGCTGGATCACCATGGTGACAGTTGCCATGACAACAGGACACGCCCCATTGTTGTCATTCTTCCTGGTCTCTCAGGTAAGGCAACAAATACATGTAAACTTCACCCCCTTACTTAGTGCCCATATGTTGCTTTGCATCCTTTTCTACTTGCAGACAAAAATATAACAACACTGGAGATGTGTGGCTATCATTGTGAAATAGTTGAGAATGCCAGAAAGACACGGAAACACACATGCATACACTCACACATACACAAACACTCACGTGCAGACACATGTACAAAAGTAACAGCAATCATGACAATGATGCCTAATAATACATTGCCTTTGTTATATTTCTGTTTCTACTAGGGCACAGCTGTTCTCATTATGCCATCAGACTAGCCAGAGGAGCCACTCAGAAGGGCTACAGAAGTGTTGTGTTTAACCATAGGGGTTCAAACGGGGTAAAGTTAACGGTAAGGAGCAGCTTATTATGATAAGTTAAATGTGTGTAACTTTTGTTGCTGTTTCCTGATAGTGTGGTTTTTGCACAAATCTTTTCAGCACTTTTTGATGGATTTTTGTTTTGCGTAGCTGACTGAGCAGCAATTACCAAATAATGATATGCAAAAGATGTAAAATATTGACTCTCCCAGACTGGAAAAGACTTGTTATTTCATGATCAATTTCATTTGAAAAGACAAGGTAATTTGCAATTTCATTACAATTAAAGTATGCCTCATTTTACCACAGCATTATTTTTCTGTACATACATGCATGAAATTATTGTATAAAACACAAATTATACAATAACTGAGGAATAAAATTGGTTGTTTCCAGTCTAACAGGTTATACTGTGCAGCTGATTCAGAAGATTTTCAACTTGCCGTCGGTCACGTCAAGAAACTGTTTCCAGATGCTCCACTTATGGCTGTGGGCTGTTCTATGGGAGGGTAATAATAATACTGTTACAACATCTTAATGACAATCAAATTAACTTTACAATGTGTTGATGTAATTCATTGACTGCCATTCTGATTATAGCAATTTCAACATGTGTAGGATACAGAAAATTGAATTACTAAGTACTAGTATACATTTCTTAAAAATGGTATTTGTTGTAATTGCTAGTGCAGACTTCAGTGCATGATTTGGCAGAAGTGGCGTGTAAGATTTCTGAAACTTCCTAAGAGTACTGTTTGACTCTTAAAAAGTTACAATCTTGGTCACTATGCTTTCATGTCTTGATTCACTTCTAAATGAACCTGTATTGGTGATTACATGGTAGCAGTGGTGATGTCTACATTCTGCCTTTTCAAATGAGTTTGACTCTTTAACAACTCCAATCTTGTTTTAACTGGTCATTTTTTGTTTCAGAATGATCCTGTTCAACTATCTGGCCAAGTTAGGTGAGGATTGTGGGTTGGTGGCTGCTATGGTTGTAGGGATGCCCTGGGACGCCAATAGGACAGGAGAGTCTCTGGAACAGCCGCTGAATCGTCTGATATTCAACAGAAACCTGGTCCAACAGCTAAGAAGGGATTTACGCCTGTAAGTACAAAATCAAATTATTACTTTTCACTTTAGTACATGTACTATTAGTGACACATTCAAGCAATCCACTACTAGTATGTAAAAGTTTAGGAGTTGTTCATTTCTTTCTTGCATAAAATTTGCTTTTGATTCATATGGAAAATGTAAAATTGTCTGAAGTGAATTGAGCATCATTATGTTGTAGATGAATTACTTTAACCCTGGAAATTGTTTTTTTTCTCAGTAACCGTGATCTGTTTGACAATGATGACAGAGTGGATGTTGACCACACCCTTCAAGTGAGCACAGTTTACATGCGACAACTTTTACACTAAAGAGGTTATAACATTAGATTAGAGGATTCAGTAGCATCATGATTTACCGGTAGGTCTCTTGCTACATGTACATTGTATTACAATGATGTACAGTATATGTCTAGTCAGAGACTCGAATTGGAGAAATGGAGATTCTACAGGTAGAGATCCCGATCAGAGTCTTTGTCAAGAGAAACACTTGCAAAGATCCCAATTGGAGTTTGTAGATTTTTAAAAAATTGCTTAAAAGACAGTCAAAACTTTTCAAATCACTTAAGATCAATGGATTGATGATTTAGGATTTGTGAATGGGAAATGACCCTAACACATTAACAGCATCCCATTCAGAGTCTTACTGGTACATGTACAATGTAGAACTGCTGATCCTACCAGATCAGAGTCTCTACACTGACATAAATGTTTCTTTCCTCCATTAAGTCAGCGACAGTGATGGAGTTTGACGACCGTTTCACCATCAAACTGTTTGGTTTTGACTCTGTCCATCACTACTACACGTCTGCAAGTGCCTGCTACAAAATCAACGACATCAAAATCCCTCTGCTCAGCCTTAACTCTGCTGATGATGTCTTTGCTCCCTTTGACTGTGAGTAGAAGTTTACAATAATGAACTAGAAAGGTAACATTTGCAACGAAAATGCATAATGTTTACCTTGAAGTTTGCATATGGTCAGCTCTGTTAATTCTTACTCAAACACATTCATACATATGTTCAGACAGGAGTCTAAATCCCTCTTGCTATAAACTTGCAACATGATGTAACCCAACACTTGTTACCATGGTGACAGACGTCTGGTTCAGGTCATTGATCTTATTTGTTTGGAGAAGAAGAAGAAACAGGGCAAAAACAATATTATGTTTTCCTTCGGTAAACATAATGAATAAATCAAGAAATTCACAATTCTAAATGCTTCATGGAAGTCTGGAATTCTTGATTTCTTACCTTGAGGATACCTTGAGGATGTATTGGTGGCTGAAGGCATCGCCTGCTGTGCCACCTTCTTGTCATTCCAGGTACTTCCTCTCCTCCCAACACATGTCCAACCTTGACTCGAAGGCATTAACGGACTTTGCCTCTACAACAATATCTGACAAGGAGTTCAAACTCTTGTTCAAATTCTTGTTGAATTTCAGATTCAATTTCAGATTCAGATTGAAGTTCAAATTCTTGTTGAATTTTGCAGTACATATTGATAATCTCAGAGTCACACAGTGTCAGTGTCTACATTGTTAACGTTTTGTGTCATTTCACCTCCAGCCATCCCTATTAAGGCCATAAAGAAGAATCCAAACATCTCATTGGTGGTGACGTCACATGGTGGACATGTCGGCTTTGGTGATTGGCTGTTCCCTACCCGGGAGAGTTTCATGGATAAACTGTTCCAACAGTACGTGGATGCTGTGTTCAAATATGGGACAAAAGAACTTATAGGGACACACACAGAGAAGTAATGTCTGTGAAATATTGTATCACAGACTCCTAACTTGGGACATATGTATTAAGTTTTCCACTTCAAACATAAAAAAACTGCATACTGTTTGTCTAGCAATTTTTAAAGAAGTTTTTGGTATATTTTTTGTGCTTTTCTTTGATAAAAATTTAGTAGATTACTGGAATCTATTACCAGTTTGTTAAAATTGCAAGGAATGTTGTATTGTTCATTTTGATACATTTTTTAAAATTTAAATCTTAAGTTGGCTTTGTTGTTTTTGTTAACTTTCAATGTCATTGCAATATCTATAGCCCATAAAATCACTGCTAGATTATTCTAAACGAATATTTGCCAACCTTCAATATCATGTACATTGTTATTCTATAAGAATATCTATTATTGTTATAGCCATGTATTTATGAATTATGACTGATTATAAAGGTACTCAAAAAAAAAGGAAACATTGCATATGAGAAATACATTGTTTATTAAAACTGTACAATAATCAATCTGTCAAAGACTTTTCTGGACCTTATTTCCGATTTAGCACCACTCTAACTGGAAACACATATTAATGATACACTTTTCTTCACAAATACAACAACTTTGTTCTATTAGTATCATCTTTTAGAAGTACATTTATATAAAATATCCATTAAAAAATTACTCTTTATAACATTAGAAAACAGATGTCTGAGGATACTCAACATCAGTCAATGTGCCAAAAATTTCAGAGAAAAAAGGACAACCCAGTAGAAGTAAACCAACATCTCAACACAATACAAAAATATCTAATAGTATTATATATGCTGTAATTAACCAGTGTTATACTATTTCCTGAAATGATATTAAAGATATTTTGCAGTTTTGGCAGTTTGAAAGTACGATTTTCTCTGAACTTGCTGATTCTGTTTTGGCCCCATTGGTTTGGTGTCAGAGATTTTGAGTTTTAACCCCCTCTATTAAAGCAGGCTTCTACTGTTTAACACTAGAGCTTGGTGCATGGATGGGAGGGTTATTGAATTTGAATGTCACCAAAAGAAGAAAATTTCAAATTATCTCTTCAATGAACAACTTGTTTGTTTTAATCACAATCAAACAAAGATACAGAGATTCATATACAAAATGGACCACAAAACTGTCAAGAGATTTTGGCAGAGTAGCACATGTATTACTAGGTATTGCCTTCTTTGAGGAGGTATTGCACGGGTTTATATACATACAACTGTCGCTGCCTACTTCTGTGAACAACTGTCAAAAGTTAGTTAGCTTTACTGACTTTTCAATATTGTCAACCAAATTTCTGGAACTCAATGACAGTAAAAATCTGCGAAATTCGCGAATATTGGAGTTCTAATGGCATATTTGTAACTGAGTATAGTAACGTCCTGTTTGTTCTTTTTTGAGTTGATATTTTCTCCTATAGATATACACTTTTTTTAAAGCCTCATATCTTGAGTGACAGTCTCAACTGATGACGTCATGTTGATGACAGCTATGACGTCTGGTTGATTGACAGCTATGACGTCAAGTTGACAACTATGACATTATTCCTACACGGAACAACATTGGATATATACACTTGGCGCGATGACGTATGGTCCATCGGTAATGACATTTCTTATGAATGCCTCTATTTGTGACGTCATATATTTGTGACGTCATGAAGGTGTCCGCATTATTTGTGTCGTCATGAACATGTCCGCATTATTTGTGACGTCACAAACTTGTCTTCATTATTTGTGACGTCATAAAAGTGTCATCAATATTTGTGACGTCAGGTACATGTCCACATTATTTGTGACGTCATAAATATTTGTGACGTCATCTACATGTCCGCATTATTTGTGACGTCACACACATTACGTCATCCGTGACGTCGTCAGTCGTAGCACATGAGCTCCGTGCCGAGTTTCTTCTTCTTGTGCCCCGTCATGAGCGCGCGCTCGAGCTGGAACATGTGCCGGCCGATGTCCGTGCGCATGCGGCTGCCGATCACGCCGTTAGTGGTGTTGGGCATGTTGTCCGAGTACACGGGAACTCTGTCCGGCAGCTCTTTCTGAGGCTTGGGCCGACCCTATACACGCAAGAACAAACAAAAATCGTCATTATCATGAAAGTTCATTTGTGTTGGTAGTAATTATAGTGAAATGTTGAACTTTATTCCAAGTTAAACAAAGAACAAATTTTCAGCGACCACTGTCGCCTTCATCATCAGGATGATCAATATATCGTCATATATAGCCAGAGGACGTCGACCAATCAGAAATCTCCATTTCATATTTTGCCATGACGCCATAACCTTAATGGAGTGTTGTAAAATAATCTCACACTGAGTGGTGAGGTTAAATCCATGAACACCTATTCCTAGAAAGTAGCCATATTAATTAAGGCCAAGATAAACTCACCTTCTGATCGTACTCCTTCAGGAAGCCCCAGTTATCTTCCCTGCAGAAAGACACAAGATAGGAGAACATTTAGAGAACATTATATTTCTGAATCGCTGGATCTCTATATTTCACGTATAAGAGAAAAAAGCATAAAAAAGATTTTGAATTTATGGAATATTACTATATATGCAGGTGCTCCGCGTACTAAGTTTGCGTGGAAGGATTTTGGCCTCAACGCTTTACCTAATTTCTAGAATAATATTCAATATACTTGAATAATTTTATAATATGTTGGAAGCCATGTTTGCAATACCTAGCATTAGAAACGACAAGTGCATTGACAACACATCGCGTGAGAAGTCTAACTCCACACGTCCTAGTCCATTGTTGATTGACAAATGCAGCTGCCGACTGGTTACTATTCACAACAATAGCGGAGACGACAGTGTATTGTTGCCACAACGGAGAAACCAGACATGTGTTTTTACCCTTCACCTATACAGATGCCAGATTTGTACTCAAGCTTTTATAAGCCTTAATGCTTACATATTAGAGACATTGTTTGCACTGTAGTTCTTTGATAGATTTGATTGATGATTTTATGAAGCTCTTTTCATACAGTGATGTCAATTGTAATGTGTTTTTGTCGGGTATTAAGTGAAGCGCACACAATGCTAATGTGTTATTAGAGTACCCTTTTGTGAATTGACATCCATAAAATTTTTACCATTAAATCGGGATTCTGTGTTGCAAGTGTTAAAGCCATTGCATAGGTTTTAATCATGATTCAGAGTTACGATCGGGATTGTGGATCATGGAATCGGGATTATTTGATCATTGTAGGATCGGGATTTTGAATACAATGATCTCATTATGTCCATGAAATTCAATACATGTACGTATGCATTGAACAAAAGTTTAACTTAGCTTATACTTTTAGGGCTACTCGTTTGATAATGCCCAGCTACGCAAAGTGACCCGTAACAAGGCATGTTATCTTCTAACTGGCAACGCTTTTCAATTTTACCACTCCAAGGTTGAGCTTTATGGTCGATAATCAAGTCACCAGAGAGACTATATTGTTTGGAGTTAATTCTAACGACCGTTGGAGCTGTAACCATGCTCTATCTGTGTTCCGTTTAAACACGTCCACTGTTTGAATCTCTTTGGTTTAAACATGGCCACCTGGGCAGCCGATTCTTCCTCAGAGTCACACACACCAACTTTACACTGTTGGATAAACATGTAGCACCCTATTCTGAGCCGAATCATTCGTGTCAGCGCCTGTCAACCTTTCAAAGCGTTCTTATGGTGTGTTATTCGCAACAATTTCATATTTTAATAGTGTTTAATCCTATTGATAACCAAGTAAGTATATCGTATGTCAACTACAACTGGCCATGTGGAAATGTTGCATTTGGAGCATATGGCGTTTTGGGTCAGGGATGAACTTACATGTAGTTTTTGTCCATGGTGTCTCAAGTTTTTATTAAGTTCTTTCTTTCTGAGTGGCCGTTAGTAACATGTGAACTTTTATTTGTGTGTGAGTGTTGCTAATAAATTATGCTTAACAAGTTAGTCCAGCGTAGGTTCAACTTTGTATAATGTTTGCTTAATGAGTGTTACACAAGGGCCCTTCTTTTTATTTGCGCTGCGGGTTCTTAATTCTGTGTTTTGATACGGCTCTTTGTTGTGTTCGTAACACAATCACTTTTCTTCAATCCCACTTTGGTCTGCACAAAAGTCGGGTTTATTCTTGCTAAGTCATCGTCGGTGACCCTTCCTATACTTGTACCCTGGGGGGTAGGACTAGTCAAAGACCATGTCTACTCTAGTCGCTGCACTTGACTTGTAGCGTAGCACACCGTATAGGTATAATAATTATGTTGGGATACATTTTGAGGTACATTTTAAGTTACGTAGCCCATAGCTAAATCACACAGTAAATGCTGTAACGTTATATGTTGTAGGGTCTACATAATGTCCATTCTTAAGCCCAAAAGAGCCAAAATCGCCAATAAAAAGAAGAAAAAATTATAGGGAATTCAAACATTCTTGTGAGGTATTCTACATAAGGTTCGTCATTTTGTAGACCGTCATATTGTGGAAATGGGTTTTCGTAAGTGTGTAGGATATTTCTTCAGCCTTGTATTAATAAAAGACGATTTGGTGAAAGGTTTTCAGTGGACATTGTGGCTTAAACCAGGCCACAGACGTTTGATTATCAAAGATGTCACAGTTCCGCTAAAGGTTGATCCCTAGTCTTACTTGACTTGTTTGTCAGATGTAAGTATAGGCGAACAGCAAATTAGCTGTCCCGAAAGTTGACACAAGAAAGATATACACTCTCTACATCAAACACACATGTCAGAGTGTGTGTGTTCTAACGCTCCGGTCGGATGGGCCGTAACACTGCCACAAGGCCAGGTGAGCAAACTACTGAGGGCCAAATCTTGCCAAAGTTTGGGTCACGTTTTTGTCTACAAACATGTAATATACGAGGAGCCTATAGGCTAAATATTGTCAAACTTTTAGGCCACATTTGCATCTAAAACGAGTAATATACGAGGACCCTACGGGCTAAATATTTTAGTTTTAGGCCACGTTTTCATCTTAAACGAGTGAAATACGAGGACCCTACGAGAGAAATTATTTTAGTGAATGGCAATGTTTAATTTGGCGACTTTATGTCTGGCAAGGAATGAAAAGGATAAGTATTTCAAGTATGTAATTTATGAGCTAGCAAACTCAAGTAAGTCTTAGCTCAAGTGTCAGCCACAGTTTTTCATTTATGCAAGCCAAGACCGTATGTTTGTTCAAGTCAGTTCTCTGAGAAGACTATTTTTATCACATTGACTCAGCATTTTTTTCGTCCAAAGAAAGACTTCAATTATACATTGCAGTACTCATAGCTACCATGATACGGACTTGGTATTTCAAACATATTTTGCACCGGTTGACTTGAATACAAATGGCATTTCACAAGCAGACTGGCTATGAATATGGGACAATTTATCAAACCTGACAAAGTCAATATTATATTCAGCTTTGTGTTGTTGGGATGTTGATGAATTATACAAACGTTAATCGCTAGAAGGGCAAACATGTCGACTGGAACTCACTCCATGGTGATGCCACGCGTTCTCGAATAGCTTAGTAACAGAATTTTGTCACTAAGATATAGTTTTGTTCCCATAGCTCTATTATGCTATATTTTGCATTGTGGCAGTATACTTCTTTTTCTGTGTAGTCTTTTGGTCGTGTATGGTTTCATTGTACGAGAAATTCTCCTTTAATTTAATTGTCCCCTTGTAATTTTGATACTAGACAAATCTGTTTAATCTTTGTGATTACTTTTGAAGAATCGTTGTTTGTCACACTATACTACTAACAACATCCACACATAGCACATAGCAATGGACGCCAAAGCCAAATTCCCAAATCTTACAAACAACCAGTCTAAGGCCATGTTGATTTGATTATATGGATGACATCCGCGCGCGCATGAATTTTCGGCCGTTTCCAAAAAAAAAAAAGTTTTCAACCATACTGTAAATCGAACAAAACAGTTGCAAAATGAGCAAAGACACACCGTAAGTTGCAAAAAATGATACCACTGTCTTAGAATGCCAAAATCAAACCAAAAAAGACGAAAATGTAAAGAAATGAATTTGAAGACTAGATTATTCGCCAAACCATACTCCGTTCAACCTTCAAAACCACGTAGATTTCATAATGAAAACAACTTTTTTTTTAGCCAAACTTTTTTTTTATTCGCACGCTCGCATCAATTTTGGGGTTCCCAGAGGATGTCATCCATATAATCAAATCAACATGGCCTAATGCACAGACGAATTCGAAGGTCAACTTTCTCAACACAACAACGAAATTTTAGAAACTGTGTTGTGGTAGTCTTAATTTTGGGGTTAAATGACAATTGGAAAGAAGTATTTCCACTCCAATGGTGTAACACTATATAACATGGGCTTAAGCCTGTTTTGTTACTACTTGTAGGTAATCTGTGTGCCCTGGGCGAATTTGGCTGTACAACAAGTGGTGGGCTGGGCCTACACACGGATATCGACAAATCCTGTTCACCTTGGGGGCATGTAACTAAGACTATAATTACGCAGTGGGTGGGATATGATGTGGTGACGGCATCACTAAGGGTTAAATATAAACATAGATTTGGCTGTACAGTTTGGGAATAATATTTTACAGGCTTTCAGAGAAAATTTTTACGCTTTTGAACTTTTGTCAGTGTGAAGGAATTTTTTTGGTAAAAGAAGGCAGTTATGTGAAGTCAATCTGGCAGAAATGTAAAATGTATATGTTTTGAAGCGAAGGGTGGGTGGGTTGGTTTATAGCAAGTTTAGATATAGAAAGGAATGGTGAGTAGATTGTTCTATCAGTAAAATGGGTTTTACATAATGAGGAAAGAAAGAGAACAGAAATCTGACTAGTTTGATTGTTGTCTAAAATTTCCATGATGTTTACAGGTGTTTACTCTCTTAGGAAACGGTAAAAAAACTATTATTTTTTTCTCTCCTCTTTAAGGTACGAAGAACTGATACTCACCATTGCTGAACTCCTTTCCACTCGTTCTTGACGCTTTCTCTCCATATCTTGTCCTCGGCCACCTCGTTGCAGTGCCGGTAATCTGCCTCGGTGCGCTTGCCGCCTCCGCCCGCGGCTGGAGGCGGGGAGGTGCCCTGGTCCTGCTTCGGGACACACCGCTCGTGGAAGGCGCTGGGTCCGCGGAGAGGGAGGCGGTACCCCGCCGAAGTGGTACGGTTAGAAAACTCAACAGACATTTTCTCAAAGTTTCAAGCTTCACACAGTTACACAACACTTTTAGTGGCCGAACTTTGGCGCTACTGTTTGGCACAGTTTGCGAGTTGTTTGCGTCGCTGCTAAGCTGGGAGGAATGTGCCCTGTGGTTGTTTGCCGTGCTCGTGTGTCGATCACTCGCCTGGCAGAATCGGTAATTATCGGAATGACTCGCGGTAGATCCCTCCTCAGTACGTCGCCTTCGGGAAGATTCGTACAAGATTCCGACGACTTCTCAACCGCCTGTTGTGTTAGATTCTTCTGCCGAAGGTTATCACGAATTGGTAGCAAAGGTTGAAGTCCAAACTTGTCCGAGGGGCGGAAGAATCAGCTTTATAAGTGGGGGTGAAGTCCTTACTGCAAGTCTTCAAGATTATGAAGATCTTCAAACTCCTGTTGCCTCCTTGACCTTGTGTCTCCTTCCTCGTCCGCGATTGCTTGTCTTGTAATCGAACAAGACAGGCAACTTTTAGACAAACAAGTCGGCAAGTTGTTCTTGCAATTTAGTCCCTGCTTGTCCAGTAACTTTACCTGTCGGGCCTCTAATTATAGAAATCCCGACCGATTTACGACATACACACAATAATGTCGTATGATAAAATCCCGTCGTCAGGTAGAGTCGTAGTGTTCGAATATTCCAAGGAACCGTTCTATCGTAATTTAGAACAGGGTTCGGAAAATGACGCTACAATACCGTTCGAATCGCCGGTTCATTCAATCGTCACGAAGAAGATCGGCGAAAGGCGTTCCGGAGCAATATTGTCGGTTTTTGTCGGCAAAAAACGTCAAAAACGAAGCAGAGTCCCCGATTTGACAGGTTAACTGACACTCGTTGGCAGAAATCGCCCGTAATTCCCCGGAATATAATCAATTTAAACGCATCTCTGCTCTCTCGTGGCCGCCCTATGGAGTAGGCTCAGTCAAAATACCACGGGGTAAGATCGGGTGTCAGCTGACTGACGGTTGGGATATTATAATGAGTTGTTTTGTTTACCGGTCGCTAAGCCAGAGGTGACGTCGGCAGGTGAATCATGAATATTCATCGGGAGGTCGTTCCAGGTCAACACACCTGTAGGATTCGGGGGTCTCACGGGAGTTATTGGGCATACCGTGTCTTGAGGCTTATCCAGTACTACCGCGGTGCCGTAAAACCCTACCACGGACTCCATTTTGTTCGTTCACGAAACGTAAGAAACAAGTGCACAGGTCTAAACCAATGGCACTAAAAAGCAAGTGGGCGATTTCCAATAACTTTCACGAACGTGAGAGTTTTTTCTTAGTCTATCTGCTTGTCAATTTTGACTGTTGAACGTTAAATTGTTGATGCTACGAGATTTATCGAAGTTTTCATTCTTTTTAGTAAACCAGACTAGGATGGCTGCCACGTTTTGATGCTTTCAATTCTGAATGGTGATCTTTATTTACACCTGTTTGGTCCCTGAATGGGTGACGAAACTCCCAAGTAACATGTCAGAAGAAATCTTAGAAACATCGAATCTTGATCTATAACTTCTTGAAGTGAGAAAAAGTCAGAAAAACAACACATTTATTCCAAACGACGACCGTTTTCAATATGGAAACTTTGCTTGTACTAACAGCAACACTTCTGGTCCTCTACTCTAGCTCTGAGGATTTCAAACTATATAACGTAAAACCTTCAAAATGCCCTTGTTGTAGATTGAGGAAACTATATGGTTGAAACCACGCCTACTTTGCACTTTGCTCACACTACGTAGAACATGTGTACTTTAATCCGTGTTTGCAGAAGTTGTTATGTTATTTGATAACACGTATTATGGTGTAGGTAATGTTTAGCTACCGTTAAGCGGGTAATAAGTAGGGTAAAGGGCATACAGTTACATATTAGGGGTGCTAGAGTATACAGTGCAGTTTTACGGAATACAGTGCAATTGTACGGAATGCAGTGCAATTTTACGGAATGCAGTGTAATTTTACTAGTACACCGTGCAATTTTACGGAATACAGTGCAATTTGACTAGTATACAGTGCAATGTTACGGAATATAGTGCAATCGTATTAGTAAAATTAGTAAAATTGCACTGTATACTAGTAAAATTGCACTGTATACTATTACGATTGTACTGCATTCCGTAAAATTGCACTGCCTTCCGTAAAATTGCACTGCCTTCCGTAAAATTGCACTGCCTTCCGTAAAATTGCATAGTATTCCGTAAAAGTGCACTGTATACTCCGGCACCCTTAACCTGCATATGGTCGGTTGGTTCCAACTCCGGGTGTTTGTATACACACATATAGGAGTGGTATTCGAGTGGTTGGGCTAAGGAAAACATAGATCTGAAGACGTTTTGAGAGAGGCCGTGTTGTGAGTAAGAAGTACATTTCAAGAAGTCAAACCGTAAATATTTTAAACTTTTCTTGAGTCAGAGAATTAAACAATCCATGCTGTACTGGTTTAGCCTGGGTACCATATGCCGGGGCTCCCACACTCGCTTCCTACTTCTTAGGGAAGCGAGTGTGGGAGCCCTGGCATACAAGTAGGATGGTACCCAGGCTAGTACTGGTTATGAGTGTCGACGTCTATTTTTCAACATCGCCCTTGTATAATTGTTAAACAAGATTCAAACTTTGAAGAGAAGTTGATAACTTGAGAAGAACCATTCCTTAGCCTAGGACCAAGGCTGATCGCTTTCCAATCGGTTGTTGACCTAAAATGACCGTTAGGAAGCGTCTCAATGCTCTAAAAGCCTGGATGCTAGGCTACTTGCAAAAGGAGTGCTTCTGAATTATGATTGAATGACTAGCTCTTGTGCATCTAGTTTCTATGTGTGCTTCAATGTTTTTTTTTTCTGTTTTTTTTCTTTATTGCCAACTTTCTTTTCTGATTCTTTTTATTTCCTCATTCCACTACACCGCCCCTCCTCCAACGTCCTGGCCTCCTTGTGTTTCATACACCTGTTATGTAAGTACGTTGTCATCTAGGCCACTCGAGTTACGGACGCCTTTTAATCCTACACTTGTCCACTCTAACAGGACCGTGCCACGCCTATCTGGTCAGCTATTGTGTCAGTCCATCCGATATCCGCCACGTCAGATCACTATCGGCTCCACTGGTTAAATCTTTTAACCACACACAGCGACCAGGCATGGGCGTAACAAACTTTGTATCTAGCTGCTAACATGCCCCTAGCCAGGATTTTGGTCGGGGGAGGGGGTTATTTCTATTTTGGATGCTAAAGAAAATCTTTTCTGAAGAAAAAAGAGCGAGACTTTGCAGCTAAAATTGAAAATCTGTCTCCGAAATATGAAAATACAAAATGTACGATTTGCATATGAGTCAACAAGTTTTCTTTCCTTTCTATCTACTAGTATATGACTAGTGAATAGGTGACTAGTATGTGCACTACATTGTCAAAGCCTACTATATTGTACATCCCACTAGTATAATACGACCTCTGCAATGTTTTCCTAGCGTTGCAGTCAGAAAGACAAGGTAGGTGACATTCCTATCATAACAGTTGAACGTGAGGAGGTTTTGTAATACGTTCCTTGTGTTGCTAGCTCCTGACATGATTGGTTTCGCCGCTATTGTGTTCTTGGGAGCCAAGGTTTTTGTCCTCCCCGTCGCCTTGCAGATTAATGTTCTCCTAGACAAACACCAACAGTCCCATCTAGGGCGCAGAGTTCAACCAAAGGTCTCTCCCAACCATAGAAACCAGGAGTTCTTTTGTGAGTTGCGGGTAAACGTTCTTGTAAGAACGGGCAGCGTCTGGACTTGAATAATTGAGTTTAATCCTCAGCTCAGCAGCGAAATTATTTTTTAAAATGAGTTTTTATACATAGACAATAGTTATTGTTTCCCCCGAAGTCGTAGTCAACTTAGAAAATACAAAATGCATGCAGAAGAACGTTATTGTACTGGTATCCTAGCAGCACACAAAATGGCTAGCCTGGGCCGTCTGGTTTTCTGGATGCTTAATAATTGAGTTTAATCCTCAGCAGGGAAATATTTTCAAATATGCGTTTCTATACATAGTTTTGACTTAGTTATTGTTTCCCCCGAAGTTAAACTGAGTATTATTTGAAAGGACAAAATGCATGCAGAGGAACCGTCTTTGTACTGGTATCCTAGCAGCACCCAAAATGGCTAGCTTGGGCCGTCTGGTTTGCTGGATGCTCAATAATTGAATTTAATCGCCAGCAGCAAAAATATTTAAAAAATGCATTTCTATACATAGTTTTGACATAGTTATTGTTTTCCCGACGCTATAGTTAACTGAGTATTATTTGAAAGGACAAAATACATGCAGAGGAACGGTTATTGTATTGGTATCCTAGCAGCGCCTAAAACGGCTAGCCTGGGCCGTCTGCTTTGCTGGATGCTATTCAATATGGACATTATGAAGAAACGCATGGAGGTAAGAAAAGCCTGACAAACCTGGAGCCGAGGCTACAAAATGCCACGACAGTTTGCCATAAATTCACAGCGTATTCAATTTGTTCTTCTTGATTATGCGACCAAGACATTGTTTCCTGCTAGTCGTTGTTGGTGCATTTTGATCACCGGTGTCGGCATGAGCTTTTTTCCGAGGAAATTAGATATCCCCTGGTAACTCTACTGCATCAGAGAAAGATTAAGATAAAAGCAAAACATTCCTGATTGGAATATTTGAAGGAATATCGCTCTTGGACGCAACTTTGCATTTGTACAGTTGACTTGTTCGCTCTGTGATACGTACACGCGACACCACGGATTCAACAGCTTTTCTTTCCAGGTACACATTCGTCCCAACTTAGCTCGGGCAAAACCACGCAAGTCCTAGCCTCCGTAGCACGCCTATAGAACTGGGGGTTTGGTGGTCTTCGTCTGTTTTCTGATAAGCCCAGGCCAGCAATGTTGTCTATATGCAATCAGAAAATAGCACGTAAAAGCTCCCTGAACCCTGAAGACCCCTAAAACCCCCAGTTTCTGTCATGCTCATGGGGGCTAGCAAGTCCACAGTTGGTTGCAGCTTTGACTAACGTGAAGCTTTCGCATTGTTGAAGTTAAGAAAACAAACATGACATATGATACAAATACTGCACCCTATAGCTGTCACCTGAAATACAACACAAAGGCACCAACCAATGACCTTGACTGGAACATTGTAGTAATCACTAAACAGTAACAACAAGCGCAATCATTTAGGATGTGTAATCACGTACATGTATTTGCCGTTGCTATGAGAGGTAAGCGCTAAAGGTCCTGGGTTCAAATCCCAAAGCAACCGGACGTCAACGTTTTCAGTCTGTCAAGAAATGACTATCCGACTTCAAGGTGGTAGTTTTTGTATCAAGTTTCATTCGAATCACGACTGTTGCTTTTTCTTATCCATAACTTGAAGTAATGTTTACGTAAACCACACACTGAAATGATTGAAACGGTAGCGAGGAGTTTTGAACGTGCGGCAAAACTGTCAGTTCCGAATACCATGATATTTAGCAAAGTTGTTTTAACCTTTCAGGTGAAAATGTACACCGATCATGTATTTCACACTTGTTAGAAGGTCAATATATCATTAGATAAGTAGTAGAAAATGTATACTTGAGACACAAATTACAAAACGTTGAACCATCGACTAAACCTTGTGATTCATTCACATGATTTGAACGCGTTTTGGCAACTCCAATGGCTTGCCTTCTTAGTTCTTTTGACTCCAAAATAGTGCAGGGCATTGCTTCTCAATCATCATATCAAAAACATGTTCTATATGAAATTGACAAAGACGTTTTCTTCGGGTATCAATACATACCGACAGAAAGAAAGCAATTTGTGTAGATTGTGGTAGTTGTGAGTCGTTTGCAACTTGTCTTCTTTGTTACCCTAATTTCTCACACAGACCTTAAGATAATAAAATAGTCCCTCAAAGTTAAAAAGACAGTCGTTCTTACCTCTTGTTGTAGTACGAAAACATGATGGTGTCTCAGAATGACGTTGTCTCTGTGAACATCTGGAACATTCAGACAGAGAGAGAGAGCTGTGCAGCGGACCGCACTATTACAGAGGTGACGCAGACTGTCGCTTTACACTGAAAGGATCTGACTAGAAGTTCAGGTCACCTCTTAACGGGGGAGCGACCGTTGTTAATCAGGGGTGGGGTGGCTAGCAGTCTCATCAGATGTCAACGAGGCCGTTTTCGTGGTCTTTACAATCTTCATTTTGATGATTTAATACATGTATCATCACAAAAGTGTGTACGCATTATAAACCGTATGTAAGGGAGAATAAAAGTTAAGTGCAACTTTAAGGCATTGCAGTGTATTGAATGCGCATATGGGTTTGGAGGCCACATAGAAAACCGATGCTTAGAATAGAAATACCTGGTCGCTGGTTATATGAAAATATAAAGTTTCTCATATACAGCAGTAAATAAGAGAAAGAATTCTTGTATCCAGATCCGTATCCAGAACAACGCTAAGGCACGATTCTGGATAGTCCACGCGTATCCAGAACCGTGCCTCGGGCCAATATAAGTTCTTGGATATTAGGAGACAATCCATTTGGTGTCTGAGCCTAACTATAACCCATTCAGGCATAGAACTAGATAGACACGGTTCTGGATACGATAAAAAATTACTATTATACTATAGAATGTAGTACCAAGGTTTCGTTCCAACCCTTCGGAAAGGTGTATAAAGTTTTATCCCCAGACTAAAAGGCGGCGGCTTTCTTTCCGTTGCTAGGGAACCATCTCTGACCAAACTCCAAGCACAGTTTGAAGAGCCCGGTGTCGCTGGAAGCTTTTTGTGTTGGAGAGTTCCGTTGACTTTTGGGATTTCGTCATTCAGAACTTAGCCTTTGAGTGGAAACTGTCAATCTTTGTTCGCTAAGCACCATTGCGAAACGGTTTTAGAAACCGACACGTACTGCAAGCATTGTGTGTGTTCTTTGGGGGTGGGTAAATGTGCAGGTATGGGACGAAGTCAAAGAAACCAAGGAGCTTAAAGAAACCAACACGCCATAGAGAGAATTGTTCTCTTTATAAAAAGCTCTTTTAATATAATTCATAGCTCTTTTCTTGTGAATTATTGTCATAAAGGGTAACTTTAAACAAACACGAATTGAAAAAAAGGAAAGCTATTAAAGTTAGAACCTAAGAAATAACAACAACCTAACACTCAGATCTTTGTTACGGTTTAGTTTAGTTTTATTTAGAATAATACGGCGACTGGCATATCACACACTCAATGTCACATGAAATATGTCGGATTTTTACAGTTTTTGCACATATATTAGGCTATACAATGATCTTTAAATACAATTTAAGACTCGTAACATTTTGATGACAAAAACCTTTATAAAAATGCATTCATAAGGCGACCGTAAACTGTATTGCATGCATACAGGTGGTGTGAAGGTATTTGACCTCCGTGCTCTAGATAAAATGATCGGTCCCCTATTCTCCGTCCTGACACCGATCCTCCCCTACATGTCCAAATAAAACATCAGCCTCCATCAGGAACAATACCGACACCTGGGTATTGTTTCACCCGGGTACTGGGTTACGCCGGGATCTGGGACGCTAACTTCTAGTCCCGCCGTACGCGTGATCTTAAAACCCCAGTCTTATTAGTAATATCTACTCCAGAAAACCTACAATGTACCTACCCTAAGAGTTCCCCTAAAGTCTGTTTTTGACCTAGAAGACCTCAAATCAGCCATGGCAGACAGAGCAATGTGGAGTCTTACTGACAGATGATCAGTGGCCAATAAAATAGTCTAATCATGACATGTTACTGTGGCTCTCTGTTTCATTATTTGAAAATTGAAGGGCTTCTAGACAGTAGTGTTGTATTTTAGCAAGAACAGGGTGGCTTTACAACTCTATGGAAGAGTTTAGCCTTGATACTGACTAGATAGGATATTAAAAAATCTCAGCACAAAGAGCAGGAATTGAGTCAAACCATGGTTTAACTCTTTATTCCAAAATTGAAAAGTGTCCATAATACATTGTAGTACTATACTGGATGTACTTGTGCATTGTTACATTATTAGATTGCAATGGCCTTTCATACCATGTTGGTACAACTATAATTGTTTCCAGTCTCTAGTATTTATCTAGCCGAATTAAATAAAACAAACGCTCAAAATAAATAAATAAATACACAAAAGAAAATACAAAATGCAATACAAACTAGAAAGGCCAATATTTGCTTTGGAGCAAATATAGCGATGGGTTCACCACATTTTACCACATGGCAGGGAAAGAATGAGAAACACAAGGGAAAACAATGCTTTACATTGATATAACTATAGTATGAAGTAACATACAACTAAGACTACAACAGTTGGATAGCTATTCCCTACATTATTGGTTAGGATTGCATAATGCAAACTGTTGATTTTCAAGATAAAAAGAAGCGTTCATAGCCCGCATTCCAATGCTGGAGCAGGAAAGCTTAAAATACCTACCAAAACACTTGAATACAGACATACTGTCAGTATGGCATGGCTCTGTGCAGGTGTAAATGAAGTTAAGCCAGTTAAATCCCAACAGCCAATCAGCAAGGAGAATAGAGGAAAGCTGCATGCCTATTGGTTGATGCCTTGCATGCCATTGTGATGACTCATGTCCAAATGTGGTAAACACTGCACACTTACACAGTAATACATTAGCTATTACACAGCCAAAAAACTCAAATAAAACCATTCTAAAAGCCTGTATCACAATAATTTAAAAAACGCCTAGGGGTATTTGCCCACTGTACCTCCATACCAAATTTCAGGACCTTAGGCCCTAAAATGAAGAAGCTGAATCCATTTAAAGATATGGCAGGAGGAGGAGAAGGAGGAGGAGAAGGAGAAGAAACATCAGAAAAAGCAATATGGTTTCACCACACCACTTCGTGGTGTGGTGAACCCATAATGACAGCTCCCTTTGTTATCATCATACTTACACAGTGAAAAATCATTAGTAACTATCAAACAATTTGTCGTATGCACTGTTTTAGTAGCAGCAGTTGCAATTTTAGTAATATCAAATAAATAAATGAACGAATAATGTAATATGTAAAATAGGTAAATGCAACATGAAAAGTACTGAAATATGAAAAATAAATATGTGCAATGTAAGAAGTGTTAAGTAAGACATTGCACCTTATACACTGTGATATTGCATTGCCATGACAAAGTTGGAAAACACACTTGTGATGACATATATTTTGCAGTGCTGCAACAATTCCATATATAGCAACGTTCAAGTCAAAGCTCCATACTTTACTGTTTCTTGTACAGTTTTGTTTCAACAGAACTAGCATAGCTACTAACATACAAAAATAAATGAAAACATGTGAAGAGCAAGGAAGTGGAACAAATTTTGCATATAAACTTTCACTCATTTGTTCACTCACTCATTCAGTTAATTCTCTGTTGGTATATTTGTTAGTGTACATAGTTCTAATAGAAATGATTTTTTGCAGAGCTTGCAGTGTTCATTTTAATAATTCATTCATATTTCTTCCTACTTCATATTTTCTCTTCATATTCCATATTTTCTTTCTCTTACATATTTTCCTTTTACATCTTTCGTAATTTCATTCTGCAACATCTGTCATTTCCACAACATTTGAACGGAATAAGTACACCTCAGTTCCAACCAGGGATAGACCATATTATACACGAGAAGTGCAACTAACTCACCAGGTCTTGAGCTTATTTTGTTACAGGTCATCCCCTAAAGTCTTTCTGATTTGTCCCTTCTTCTTCGACACCTAAAGCTAATGCCCCTGATGAAGATCTGAATGTTAGGCCACACCAATGTTTTCCTTGGCTCTCTCTAAGTATGATGACAACACGAAAACAAAGGATAGCAAGAAAATGTCCTATCTGACCATATACTATATGAATGTGTTTGAGTAAGAATTAAAGGAGCAGACCATATGCAAAGGTAGACATTATGCTTTGCAAAATCTCTCTAGTTTTTATTATATTATGTTTTTTTAATGCAGAGAGCCAACAAATTAAATTGGTGTGGCCTAATGAAGAAATGTGCACACAGAAGGCAATAGGAATGTTACTCTTGTGCATCTACCCATTTTCCTTCTTCCTCATTGGCCAGCTCCTGTCCGTACTTGAAGACCGCATCCACGTACTGTTGGTACAGTTTATCCATGAAACTCTCACGGGTGGGGAACAGCCAATCACCGAAGCCGATGTGGCCCCCGTGCGATGTCATAACCAGCGCAATGTTTGGGTTCTTCTCAACTTCATCTATGGGAATGGCTGAAACAGAGAGGACAAGATATGACAAACAGAAAACACACTGTCAACACTAGAAAGGTAACAATTGCAAAGCAAATGCATAATGTTTACCTTTACATATAGTCTGCTGTGTTAATTCTTACTCAAACGCATTAATATACTAGTATATGGTCAGACAGGAGTCTAAATCCCTCCTGCTATAAAATTGCAACATGATGTAATCCAACACCAGTTACCATGGTGACAGACATCTGGTTCAGGTCGTTGACCTTATTTGTTTGGAGAAGAAGAGAAAGAAGAAACAGAGCAAAAACAATCTGTTTTCCTTCTGCAAAGGTAAACATACCTTGATGGTAGCTCTATAAATGTGCTTGATGGCTTGATGGCAGCTCTATAAATGAGTCAAACTTACGGTAACATACATTGTAGATGTGTGATGTCAACTTGACTTACAATCTAAAGGAGAAAAGATGTCGTCGGCTGCGTTCAGACACAGTATGGGGGTCTGGATGTTGGGAACTTTGTGATGAGGGCTGGCGTCGGTGTAGTAGTGCTGCAGGGACTCGTAACCAAACACTTTCGCTGTGAAACGCTCGTCAAATTCTCCTATGGTGGAGGCCTGGTGGAACATTCATTTTGATTATGAAAGGTCTGTATTCTGATAGTGGATATGTAACAAGAACTTTAATTGATTCTCCATGGTGAAAATAATACTGGTATATTTCAGAGCAGGTACATGTATTTGATTGGTTAATATTCAATTTCAACATGATTGGTCAGTATTCTAGATAGTGGATTGGTTCTCCATGGTAGAATTAATACTGGTATATTTCAGAGCAGCTTTTTGATTGGTAGACTGTGTCTGCAATCAGACATAGTCCCAAGGTTAACATGATAGTCAAATTATGTTAAATGTCATATGATAGGCCTTGTACCAAGGAATTGATTTGTTTGTATTCATGTATTATGTCTGTACTTTTTGTCTTCAAAAGTAGTCTGTAAATCAAATTGGTGTGACTTTACCAGATGTATAATTGTTAGTTAAAAGTTAAGTTTGACTAACCTGGAGAGCATGGTCAATGTCAATACTGCCATGCTGGTCGAAGACAACACGATTCCTGGGGACAAGAGTTAGTTTACGGTTAGTGTGTTACTTTTAATGAAACTCAGTACTAAATTAAGTTTATAGCTATTGCAAATACAACCAGCGACCATACATTGGTCCTGACTTAACTACATTAGGTTTGATTTGAATGAGTATACTGAAAGTGTTGGCGTTATTTCAGACCATCACTTTACATGTGATGCAAACCCTTTTTCCTTTTCTTCTCTTGTCCAACATTTTGCTTGATGTCATTTAACTTTACTCCAGTCTGTGCTGTGTGCAAATACCATGCTCCACAAATGCAATCATAAACAGGTCAAAGAAAAGTAGCCCTCTATTCACCTGCGCAGGTTTGTAGTCAGCCCCTTGGCCAGGTACCTGTTGAACAGCAGTTTGTTGACGGTTTCCTCCAGCGACCTCGTGCCCTCAAACACGTTCCACGACACGGACACCACCATGGCGGCCACCAACCCACAGTCTTTACCCAACTTAGCAACGTAGTTAAACAGGATAATGCTGTATAGTACAGAGAGGAAAACTGTTACTTACTGATGCATCAATTGTAATGGCATGTACTTAGGCATGAAAATCTTAATGGGACATGTTGCACCAAAAATTGAAATATATTTGAAAAACTGATTGCAATTTTTCAACATATTTGTGCAATTAGCTCACATTGCTGACTTCCTGAATTGCACATATTTGCATTGGAGTTATAAAGAAATGACCACTATTTGTACTGTCCTATTACATAATGCAGCTTTGATTGCCAGTGTCCTAGCTAGCACTTATAGTATAGGGGTCTTACGTATACCCGGCAACTTGGACTCCCTATTCACATTACTTCACCGATACTGTCTTTCAAAATGTATTTTCCAAGGGAGAACGCCAGACCTCCTACTGTGGTCATGTCAAGATCTTCTTTGATAAAAAAGTGATGCTCACCCCCCGAGGGACACCCCCACGGCCATGAGTGGTGCGTCTGGGTACAGGGTCTTTACATGGCTGACCACAAGGTGAAGGTCATCAGTGTTGGCTGCACAGTACGACCTCGCACTCTGAAAATAAGAAGAGTTACTGAAGGTTTAACCACATCAAACTGATATATGTAGTTACATTTACTTACAAAACTTCTATCAAGACTTTTTACAAGGCATAACTCATGATCACCTGGATTTTCATCAGGATTCTGCTCATATTTTGACAGTTAAAGAAAGTCCTATTCTTCCAAGTTGTTAAAATTTTTCCAGCTATCCATGTACTAGTAGTGGTATGATTTAAGCTTACAATTCATTGTTTGAATTACAAACCAGTTTTAATAGCATGGCTCCTACTATAAGCTTTGGGGCTATCATAGGATGGCTTTTTTTTGCCCTGTCACTTTATATTTTTTCTCAGAACAACTTTCTCGAAATAACAAATTGTTGTGGCCTCTTAGTAAGGGTATAAAATGGTTCCATCCACCAATCTTTGACCTACCTTTAGCTCCACGCCATTGGTTCCCCTGTTGTTGAACACGACGCCACGGTAGCCCTGTTTGTGAGCACCGCGCGCCAGTCTGGCTACATATGCAGAGCCACTGTTTCCTGGGCAGATATACAAAAGTAACAGAAAACCATTCTTTAGTTTAAAGCAGACTCAAAAGCAGAAGCAATTTATCCATTTATGTCTTTTCCCCAAAAAACTGGAGGTTAGAAGTGCTTGAATCAACTGCAAGTCTTTTTTAAAGCAAGATTTTTTTATGGCAGGATGTCCTTCCTAACGCCAACTCAAACCCTAGTAGGGCCCCAGATCCCTACTAGAGTTTGGGGGGGGGGGGAAATACGCATTAAGTGCCTTTTCCAAGGGCACAACGTCTGGGTGCATGTCCGGACATGTCTGTGTCCAACCCTGGGGATTGAACCTGGGTCTTCTTGCTTGACAGTCCGATGCTCTACCACTACACCACACAGATGCCACTGTACGTATGTGTGGTGTAGTGGTATGTTTCTTAATCCCAAATCAAAAAGTAATCTAATATCCTATTACAAATGTTGTAATCTTACCTGTCAGTCCAGGCATGATGAGAACAGTTGGGCGGGTCTTGTTGTCGTGGTGATGGTTGCCATGGTGATGGTCGCCATGGTGCTCCAGCCAGTCCAGGTGGATCTCCCCTCCATCAGGAGTGTGAAGGATATCTCTGGAATATCACATGTATATATGTAAACAAGGCATTTGGACATTTTAGTGAGGCCACAGAGATATATTGAAAGATATATCTTTTAGTTTATTGTTTCTCAAACATTGAAACTTTGAACACCGAATGTTGGAAACTTGAAACTTGGATGTTGGTATTGACACCGTTACAGTTTTTGTTTAGATACACCAAATTTTGGAACATTTTGCATTGAAATGTCTGTTCTCTCATGTGGGTAAATATAATACAACATGGTGTATTCCGCATCACCCTCGGTCCCAGCCCTCCCGCGGATCGGATCTCCTTCTGGCCATCGGCCGATCAGACGCACGGTCGGGCTGGTACCTCGGGCGATATGGAATACACCATGTAGTATTCTATGTATTTTATATTTACGTACTGTCGGTAGGATGGTGGCTTGCCGTCCGCCAGATCGCGAATGATGCCACAGATGAGAGTGTGTGCACGTGAGGTGAAGCACCAGACAGTCGGGTAGTACTCCTGTACCAGCACAGGACAGCGCCGCTGGAGGAAGTCTGCACAATCAGCACTGCCTGTGATCAGCAACGGCTTCTACAATGGATAATGTAAAGAAAAAGGGATGTTTCTAATTTCAATGTATTAAAAACATCCCTTTCATGTAGAGGAACTGACCATAAGTGTTTAAAAGCCTTGATTTGCTCTCCCTGTCATTAATTAACAACAACAACAATACATTTGAAACATACAAATGTGCTGCCTGCCAGTAAGAAATTCTATTCACTATTTACAGGGGAACAGGCTAGAATTAATAGCCACTTGTAAAATAAAATTGCAAATTGTTGTTGTTGTCCTTGTTTAGAGTCTAACATATCGCTAGACGTGGTCTCTTGGTGCTGCTTTACGCTTGGTTCAGTTCGGAGTCAACTTGTCTCTCTAGGTATAATTAACACTTGGTGACTTATGCTTGTGTGATGCAAATTATAAACATACATGTATAACAAGTTAAACGGCTTGTAGAAAGGACCAGTTTGGCACCCCCGTTTAAACAAAAATTGAAGACAACCCACCTTAGCGACGCACTTGACATAGTACGTCGCTACCGTGAGGGCCACGCCGACCACCAGGGGAAAAGACGGCCAGTTTTCCCACTGAATTGACAACCAACTCCTCAGCCGAGAATCTGACAGATATTCTTCGGCCATCTTGGAGCTGGAGTGCTCTTTGACCTTCTTTGACCTTTCAACTTTTTTCACAATAAAGCTAAATCCGTCATAATGATAAAATTCATGGTAAAAAGAAGCAATATTATGATTTGTAAAAGTCTTAAAATGTGATATTTCAAAGTTACATTTTATATAAGCAAACTTTTTGAGACCGAACTGGTGCCGGTCACGTGACTGGTACTGCGACACCAGACTATGACGTCATTTTAGGGATTTTGTTCAGTGTTTTGTTTGTTGCGCAGGTTGTTCCTGCACTTTTCGGCGATTTTTACCCAGTCTTGGACCTTTCCTGTCCACTATTTCGAGACTTTCCTACAGAAGAGATACTAGAGAAAGAATTTTGAGGGACAGGGTCAAGTTTTAGGGATTTATTCAGGTTTTAATCCGAGAAAACCGAGAGGAAGACTCGAGAAGAATCAGAAAATCGTCAGGATGGGAGCCATCTTGGGAACCCTAGGACTGGGTAGCTGTGCGGCTTCGGTGAGTTTTAAACCACGTTTTCTCTCAAATTACAATGTTTAAACGACTACGAATGTCATTTTCATGTTCAGAATTATGTTGTGGGCATATTTTGAGGCGATTCTATGTTTGGCAAGGGCCGCTAGAACGTTAAATTCGGCTTTTTCTGACGGATAATAAATAATTTTTGTCATGACGCAAGTGGCAGACAGTGATGTAAACAAAAACATCTGCATACTGATTTAGCAGGAAATGAGACACATAATTTTATTCATCTTCATCACTTGACGATTGTCCTTATTGTATAATTTATTGTAGGCTTCTTGTATTTCTAGCAAATTTTGTTTGGTATTTAACTTTTAAGATATGATTATACAGTTTGTTGTGTACTTTGTTGTCGATTTAATGCGTGAAATCGTTCTACCATGTGGAAACAAGTCATTAGTCTTGTGACTTGACATCACATGTCCTGTACCATCATTGATCTGACTGGATTTTCAACTTTTGTACCCTTGTTTTAGGCTAGACAACTGTATGTAAGGATGTTAAGTTTGAAATTATTTATTATTAATATGGAATCAATTATGCTTGCCTGATGGTAAATTATATTTTGTGCACATTTGTATATGAACTATGCAGCAGGGCACTGTGCCCTGACTTGGCTCAGTGTCAATATCTCTGTATGTCATTTGCAAATTTGAATATTGGATTATCAAATCAATCATATCAAAATGCAAGTCATTTTTACTCATTTGTAAATGAAAGAAAAGAGCAATTGTTTCTAGGATGTATCATGTAACTTTCCAACATGTCACAGCAGATCCTGGAGGGGTATTGTGAAGGGTATCTTGTGAAGAAAGACAAATGATTTCATTACAGTAATGGTACAAAACTACATGCACATGAAAGTACCGTGAAAAATCAGGAATTAGTTACAGTACATACCGGTGATAATTACTGGTTCGATAATGGTAGAAAATATGTAAAATTGAACCCATGCTTCATGTTTGACATTCCATTTCCCTTTAGCTGGCATGCTGCTGCACCAGTGCTGCCTGCAGCCTGTGTTGTTCTGCCTGTGGGAAGAGTAAGAACTCGGTGGTGACTCGTATCGCCTATGCCCTGTTCCTGCTGCTCGGGATGCTGGTGGCCTGCCTCATGCTGGCTCCTGCTGTGGAGGACGGGCTAAAAGATGTAAGAGAAAATCCAGTTTTGTACGTTCAGTTTTTTTTTGCAGCCCCTGGTGTGCTGAGTACTGTAAATCACGTTATGTTTACGGTACAAATATTTCACTGTCTAAGGAAAATGGACATGTTCACTGAATGATATATTCACTGTGGCAGAGTGTGCACAAAGGGGGGCAATAGGTGGATGATTTCTTGACGGTATGATAAGGTCACGGTACAGGAGTGACAGTAAAAATTGTGAACATAAAATACAGAGAAAAAAATCATGATTGACGGTGTAAGGTAAATGTTATGTAACATGGTTGGGTGTTGGGCGTTGGGTGTCAAAGACATTACTACATGGATGAAAACCAAGCTGATGTCTGACCTGAAATCTAGGATTTGTAAATGGGAAACCAGTCACTAACACATTAGTAGCATCCATTTCTGATCAGTGTCTCTGTTGACAAAGGCTCCGACAGGTATTTATACCTGCAGTAGTACCAGCAAAGCCAAGCCAACAGAAAAAGAGAGAGTACCTAATCAGAGTCTCTACCCTACAAATATGAATGCATTTGTTTGAGCTTGTAATTCCTTTCTTTTTGTGTAACTTACCTTTTTTTCTTTAAAAACAGTTTCTGGAAACCCCACAAATCTGTGACGACACGATCTTCCACGACAAGCTGGTGGACTGTCAGGGGATCGTGCGGAGCGTGACGGGATACCTTGCGGTTTACCGTGTCTGCTTCGGGCTGGCCGGATTCTTCTTCCTCATGAGTCTCCTCATGATCAGTGTGAAAACCAGCAAGGACCCCCGCGCTGGGATTCAGAACGGGTGAGAAATCAGACAGAATTCAAGTGTTCAAAAACTCATTCTTTCCTAGAACTATCGCAGAGTAGAACTCAGTGTCACCATTTACAGTAGGACATAATCATTAGATAGCTTTAAACAATGTTTAGAGTTAGATGTTCAAGGGTTAGGTGTAACAAGTCATTCAGTGTAATGTAGCCAGCTGCTGCCTGCAAAGCTGGTGTTTTATGCCGCCCATACAGATACAGACAGTTCAAATCACTATTATAACTGGGAAAGGCTTTTCTTCATGTTTTGGATCCAAAATGTTAAGAAGTTTTTTACATGTACATGTAGGTTCATCTGCTTTAATGTGATCTTCTCTAAATTATGATCAATATTGATTTAGTTGTATTAAAAAACGGTACTTCAACCATAAAAGATGAATTGAAATCCCATTTCAAAATTGGCACTGACGAGTCATGAATAACATTTTGATCTACTTGCTAAACGGAGTATATGTTATGTTGCAGATTCTGGTTCTTCAAGTTCCTGGCTGTGATCGGCATCTGTGTTGGAGCATTCTTCATCCCCAGGGGTGCTTTTGGATCAGGTACATTTTTGCTGTTTAAAGACAAAAATCTGTGCTAATATCCAACTGTAACAATAGTGCATGCTAAAGAATTATGATTTTTAGCAATTTTTCAGACAAATCTGCCTTAACAATCATGGATCTTTGTTTTTTGAGCTGCACAATACATGAAATTGATCAAGAAAACTGCGCAAAAATGGTTAAGTATGGCCTGTTGTAACATGCAATTTAGTACCAAGTTTAGAATTATAAAAATAAACTTCTCTCTCCCTCCCCCAGCCTGGATGTACATTGGTATGATCGGTGCATTCCTGTTCATCCTGATCCAACTGGTCCTGCTGGTGGACTTTGCTCACTCCTGGAACGAGTCCTGGGTGGAGAAAATGGAAGAAGGCAACTCCAAGTTCTGGTACTTTGGTAAGTCAAGGCATCTGTATCTGTATAGCCGGTATAAGCGCCCTTCGGCGTAACACACCAGCTTCGCAGGCACGTGGTGTGGCGGCAGCTAGCTATATCACACCGAACGACTTATTACACTGATATCCTTAAGCTTTATTACTGTAATTCACTTTATATTCGTGGTAGCATAAGTTTGCAGTCTGAGAAGAACTAGTATATGTTTGCGGTAGCTGCAGGTGCAGAAAAAAGAAAGTCGTGGAATTATTTCTTCATGATAGTGATAAATTTGCGATACAGAAGTGAACACGAATATAAAAGTACTCTGAAAAAATCTTGAATTACAGTATTTTCTGAATGACACAGTTAATAACATACCATACATCTTAAGCATATTTTGACTCTACTATAGAGCTGGTTGTAACAGGGAAATATGTGAGTTCTCATGATGATGTCTGTTGTCTGTTTCTGTAGCCCTGCTGGCCTGTACGTTTGTGTTCTATGGTCTGGCCATTGCTGGAGTCGTGGTTTTCTTCATCTACTATACTGTGGTGAGTTAACAAGAACCTTCTTGCTGTTTCTATGTCCAATTGTTAACCAGTCATCATTATAAGACACATGCAAATTATCAAGTCATTTCTTACTGTAGTAGATGGTTGTTCAATGGTCGCTCTATAAATGTTTACTTCATAAATATTTTTTTTACTACTGGATAAACATTCCAAGATCCAAAACCATGTAAATAAATAATTGTTAGAATCTTCATTTAGTTCGTTGTTTCTCCCTGTTTCCAGCAAAATTGCCTTAAATATACCACACCCCTTAAGCACATGTAAGAACCCACCACACTTTTGCAGAGAGTTAGAATCCCTGTGTTAATGGGTTTTGGTTATTGGGTAGATATTTTTAAGTTTCTGTACTAAAATGAACTTGTTTGTTTTTTAGCCCGATGGTTGTGCCACCAACAAGTTCTTCATCAGTTTTAACCTGATCCTGTGTGTCATTGCTTCTGTCATCGCCATCCTACCTAAAGTCCAGGAGTGTGAGTTTTTAATACTCAATACTAATGATTTTTTCCTTACGCTTAACATAACTGCAGTGTATGTAGTTGTAATGTCATATTACTACATGCCTGTATGACAGTCAATTCCTGTGTGTACATGTATGTGGTGGACAATCTTTTTGATATATTTATTGCCAATTTAGTGTTGTACCTTTATGGGGTGAGCATGTGCTAGGTGTTAAAGTAGTATCTAGCTACTAGTATATGTTTTTTTTTTTTTTAGTTTGAATAGATCCATTGACATTAAGGCTACAGAGATTAAAATACTTGTTTCACAGATCTGTACTCAGTTTTGTAACAAACCTATGGTATTGACAGTAAAATTTCATTCATGTGAGAATGATTGAATGTTTGTTTTCTGCCCTTCCAGCCCAGCCCCGCTCCGGTCTGCTCCAGGCTTCTGTGATCACCCTGTACACCATGTACATCACCTGGTCTGCCATGACTAATGAGACAAGTAAGGCTGACAGATAACTTTTTCTAAGGCTGTAAAATTTGGAAAAGTTTTTTTGCAACTATCCAAGCTACTGTTCCTACCCTTCTACAGCATGAGGTTTAGATGTGCAGTTAATAAGTTGAATTGTGATTCATTATGAATGTAGCTACCTTGGAATTATATATCTTGAAAAATTGCTTATTTTGTAACATATTATAAAATAACATATCTTATAAGAACACACCTCAGCATTCAACCGTCATTTAGAGATATGTGATGCAAAGATAATTCTTTAAATAGTAACAAGTTTATTCTACAATTATGGGTCGATGTATTTGGCTTCAGCACTCATGTTTATATGCCTGTTTGGAGTTTTATTGAAACTCATTTGCCTTTTCTCTCTCTCTCTCGCCCCACAGACAGTAAATGTAACCCTAGCCTGCTGCAGATCGCTGGCCTGACTCCCATCCAGAACGGCACACAGCCCGGCACGACCGCCGCGCCCACCCCGCCCTCCAGTGTGTTCCTGGGTATGGATGCGCAGGGCATTGTGGGACTGGCCGTGTTCTTCATCTGTGTCATGTATGCCAGGTAGGTCAGAGGTCGGAGTGTAGAGGTCAGAGGTCTTCTGGCACAACCACAATTCTCTCTCCTGCCAATGTGTAATGAAGTCTGCTACTGATTTGGTTTGGTTTTCCTGTAATGCCCACGATCATGATAATGATCATTCTGGCATACTCATTTTCACCTTGGCTAAGAGAGGAAAGTCGTGTAAAGGTTGGTGTGACTTGGCAGGATTTGAACTCGGGACCTCTTGGTTCTGAGCTGAATGCTCTGCTTTTACACCACACGACCACACTACTACTTGACACAAGGTTGCAAGAATCGGATCCCAACATGACTTAATGTCTGAATGCAATGACATTGTCTCCAATGCAATTAACCATGAGTGATGCCCTTACATGTACAGTTACACTGATTTATTCTAGTGTAGGCTAGTAGATATGTGTGTGTGTTTGTGTGTGGGGCCTACGATTCTATTTGGTGTTTTGGTCAAGCTGAGACTAGTGTGCTTTGCATAATTCATCCTTTTCAGCCATGACACATGCAAAGCAGCAGACCTCAATGAGAAGCAGCCTGCAGGCCAATTTGAGCTTATGAATAAAGAATGCTTCAAACAAACAAACAAGCAAAAACTTGTGATATGAAAGATATGCCGTATTTTGTTTTCTAGTATCCGCACCTCGTCCAACAGCAGTGTGAACAAGCTCACCATGTCGTCGAACGAGAGCACACTTCTGTCCAACAGCCAGGCCCCAAGTGAGTATGGTAATAATGTCCACCTTTGTTTTGGTTTTTACCATTTGTTTGGGTTATAGGTATAGGTATGGTATCCCTGTACTACACTTGTTTCATATTGTTTGTCTATTATTGTTCTTGTTACAAATGAAAATGTTGACTTTTGATTTTAGGTGTCTGAAGTTGTTTCTTGGTTCCCAGTAAGGCCAAATGCAGAACACATTTTGTAAAGGTTTCTCACACATTTGCTGTGGACTCTGACAAACTTAACTACTATGCCATTAAAACCAATAACCAATACGTTTCAATGATGCAGATGCCTTTGCATTGATCAAATCAAATGTACTTCATACTCTCAAAACTGATAAACTGTTTCAAGAACATATCAACACTGACTGAAAATGAAATTACTAACAGTATCAGAAATTTCCTTTACTCTATTGCAGATGCTTCTATTTCATGAACAAAAAAATGCTTAACCAGTTATCAAAAAGTCAATACAGCCACATTTGTGCAAAATAAAATGCTTTCATCATAAAATGCTTTAAGCAGAACAAAAATATGCCATTGAAATACAAATGAACTTAAAAGACTTGTTTTGCTACAACTAATACTAACCATTATTTAATTTTCTTTAACATTTTCCCTAAATGCTGCATAATTAAATGTTGGAATAAACAGTCTAACAGCCTTTAACAAACAAGGGAATCACATAATCCAAGGGTTGTAGTGGTTTGATGTTTTCACCAGGGTATCAAATCTACTAGCTTCTACCAGGCTTTGGGAAGTGGCTGGAAAGAGTAGAAATTGGCCAAATACACAGATAACATGCCAGGGGAGTTGGTCCTCTAGAGAGTGTACAGTTTGTTGCTCCTGTTCTCTTAGCAGACCAACTCCCCTTGTATACCATCGATTTAACCAATTTCTGCTCTTTCTAGCCACTTTCCGAAGCCTGGTAGAGGCTACAAAATCTACAAGAACTGCAGTTATCTATAACCTCTCTACTTCAGTTTTGACAGAAAACATGTCCCGATATTTAAAATATGTAAAAATTTAAAATTTGTGTTTTGGTTGTCTCCCAGGCACCGGTGATGTGGAGAAGTCTGTGGTTGATGACATCGATGATGACTCTCCTACGATTGACAACGAGAAAGACGGAGTGAAGTACAACTACTCCTTCTTCCACTTCATGTTCATGCTGGCCTCCATGTACATCATGATGACTCTCACCAACTGGTACAGGTGAGATGGAAGTACCTGTACTTCAACCAGCTTTCAAAATTAGCAAACTTTATGATGTGTCACCATGCTTTGAGGAGTTTTGTTTGGAATTGCAAAATTCAAAATTGACGTGAATTTAGCTAAAGAAAAGGTACGTTGTTAAGCAGTGTTCTAGCCAGCATTCATCTTTCCTTCATTTGCTACAATTTTGTGGCTCATGATGGCCGATTCTTTGACCAAAAAAAATCGGCGTGTAAAGCTGGGAAGAGGTGTCAGCAAAATTTGCCCCCTAAAATGCAAGAAATATCGTTTCATAGGGTCAAGATTTGTAGATTTTTTTGGGGGAGCTCTGAGGAAAAATTTTGAGATGACGGAAGGAAATTTTACGTTGGATAGAACACTACACATGTAGCTGATGGAGGAATTTTGTGGACTGTCCCTACGGCTTCCAGCTACATGTCTGAGTGAGAACGCTTGCTGTGTAAAGTAAAGATAAACATAAAGATTGTTGATTCCTTCATCCCCAGCCCGGACGGGTCAAACTTCAACAAGCTGGAGCCCAACCAGCCGGCGGTGTGGGTGAAGATCGTGTCCAGTTGGCTCTGTATCCTGCTGTACGTCTGGACGCTCGTGGCGCCCATCGTACTGCCCGACCGCGACTTCGACTGAACAACGCGCTAACCTCGCATTCAGCCAGTTCACAGAAAAGTATAATGTCAACAGCTACTGATGTTTTTTGTAATAGCTGAACAGGGATACATGTAGTTCACACATCACTTCTTGTCATGTGTAGACTGGATTTTAGTCAAGTTGTGCTGAAAGTATATGAATTATGGATGCCTTTTGTAATAGCTGAACAGGGTTAGTTCACGGGTCACGTTTGTCATATGTAGACCGGATTTTAGTGCACAAAGTACGATGTCAAGAATTACATAAATACAGCCTCGCAGTCAACAAGGGATAGTTTACAGATCACTTCTTGATATGTGTAGACTGGATTTTAGTCAAGTTGTGCAGGAGGTATAACGTCAACAGTCACGGATGCTTTTTGTAATGGCTGAATAGGGATAGTTCACAGATCACTTTGTGTCATACGTATACTTGATTTTAGTGCACAAAGTACAATATCAAGAATTACAGAACAGCAGAAAATTGACCTTTTTTTAATTGCCAGACACAAAAGTATGTAGTAAACATAGAAACACATATTTTACAATTTCTACAATTTTCCTTTGTCAGTAATGGTAGACTGGAATGTATTTAAAAGTCTCTGTCATAATGTCAATATTTGAACAATAAGCAGAAAGTTCAGTCATAAACCAATATTATATTATTCCTTTCTTGTTAGACCTAGCGCAATGTGAGCCAAACAAATTGCTGGTAAGAAACTTAGACAAACAGCATAAGAAAATTGAAGATTAAACATACAGCTCAACTATGAATGGACACACAACGTCAACGAGATTTGATAAGTGATCAAGGAATCAGAGCATAATGCTGAAGAAATCATATCTATAGATCTTGCTGTGATGCGATAGCATTTTTACTGACTGTATATACATATATAAGCTCATGGTATTCACAATGTACTTCAAAGGACTGTAAGTTGAAATTATACCAACAGCAACTAGAAAAAACTTGACAACCATCTAACTGATTGAGTACCATCTTAAACCATGATGTGAAAGTGGGTGTTTTTGTAACATTGTATTTAAATGGTCAAGCCATGGAAAGGATTTTGCTGCTGTATGTTGAAATGTGAGGATACTTAAAGTAAGGGAGGTACAGGTATGGTTGTTTCATGTTTATCAATTGTGTATATCAGAAATTCAGAAATATGATATGGGTGTTTAGTTTCGCAGTATGTGAAGATACATTGTGGGTGATCAGAAGTTTAACAATTGTAAGAGTATGTTGTATGGTTTTGTGTATGAAACAAAATGGGAAATGTGATGCTTGATAAACAAAATGCTTTTTTTTCTTTAAGAGTGCACAAATTATTATAATATATGTAACTGAAGCAGTGCTATTGATGTATTAAATGTGCTTGGTGTAAGTAATCAACATACAATTGTGCAGATTTGTGGAAAGAGGTTCATTCTATGCATATGATCAAAAACAACAACTTTGCATGCAATAACATGTAACATTTTTAGACAACAGTGTATGTACATGGACAATACAGATATGTGCTTGTATCAGGGTGTTTGTGCGTTTGTTTCCTTCGTTGTGTCTTTGAGATTATTCTCCAAGCAGATTTTTTTTCTTAGAAAATTATATCAAACACTGAAA